TTTTTGTGAAATGAGTCAGAGGGAGGTGAGCATGGAGAAGGGACTGCATATATACATGGCATGTGATGTGTAAACAGGCTATTCCTAAGAATGGGAGCCAAGTATGTGTGAAAGGGTCAAACATAAGACATTTAAATCAAGGTGTAAAAGCATACTTTTTTAACTGTGCACATCCTATGCAAAAAAAAATGTGGGAGGGAGGGAGAGATCAAATTTAATGTTGCTTCTGAAATTCAGAATTATATGTATATATGTTTAATTAGTGTTGAACTTTCTTTTCAGAAACGTCTTCTTGAGTTGGACATTGAGATAAAAGACTTAGAACCTGAAAGCACTCTTTACATGGAAGATGAACCTCCAGATGTTGACACAATATTTGGTTTCCTTGATCCAAAAATTAGTGACAGTGTTCATGTTTCTCCAGGTACCACTGTGTATGGGGTAAGTCAACTTAAGTTTTGTTGCTACTAACACCCAGTTGATTGAATTCATTCCATTGTCAGTGTTTTTTGTGGTAGATACAGACTACCAAATACAGTATGTAATTATTTAATTTGAATTAGCATGGAATAAATCTGTGTTGTTCTGTTATTAAATTATTCTTTGCAGTAATTTGTAAACAAAGTACATACTGAAAAAGGTTTTGGAATGTCCTTAAAATAAGAGAAGTGCTTTCACAGCTTTTTAAGGCCACCGGTTTAATTATCAAGATGGAATGTAAGTTGTCACACCTTTTTCCAAATTCTGCTAGCTTCTATCAAGAATGTATGCTCTCGCAATTTTAGTTATGTGTAATATTCTACAATACCAATTTAGCAAAATCAGATCTCGAATATATTTACTGTAACTTGTATGAGTGACTGTCAATGGGGTTTTTGTATAACTGGATTTACTGACTAATAACGGATTGTAACTAAAAGTAATTATAACAGTCTCACTGAGTTACATACTCCAAAATCACTGTAACTGCAGCACACATAAAGTCTCAATCTTCACTAGTCATGTCCTTGTAATGGATTGTAACACTGTCCACTTACATCCTTACTGTCTGGTACGTATCACACAACTGCATAACTGCACTAAGTCTTCACTTCACAGTGCTTATAACTCCTTGGCATAAACCACCATAGAAAGCACTGTTTTCAACAGTTCCTCTATTGAATGTTGATTCATTGCTGTTGAGACATATTTGTTTGCAAGAGTTAGCAGTAACAGCTCTGGTATATTTTCTTATCTTGTTGTCATTGCGTAGTAACAGCTCTGCACACTACATTACCATGTGTTTACATCCAAGGCAAAGAAAGTTCTCTGTATAATATCAGCCTTTGTAAGTGCTAAAAGTTAACGCAGTGTAGTATTGTTATAATGAGAATTCATAACAGCATAAAATTTTGGTATTATGATTCCTCCTCCCCTATTTTTGGTTATTTAATGGTGCTTTCCACACAAACACTGTAAGTACCTGAATATGTTTCCTGTACTTGCAAATGCAGTAGGACTGTTGCAAGATTGAAAAATGATCTTCTCTTCACCGAGCCTGGCAGCAGACTGACTCCTTCACCTTTGCATATTGTCTTACCAAGTGCACTTGTCCATCTGCATGACTTTGACTGAAAGAATAGAATATCATTCTTGAGCCTGGAGGGGGATGGGGGACATCCTGGACTGGTCCTACAGGTTGATGAAGGGTGTGACCATATCAAATCATGCACTTCCTTGGAGAGAAGACAAAAATAAATAAATAAATAAATAAATATGCATTTATAACTACCCTTCCATGTGTACTTTGAGATTGTTTGAGACAAAGGCTCTTGGTGTCTATCCCTCTCACTTTCTTGTCCTCCATTTTTCTGTCTCCATTCACATTCCTAATGAACTGAGGTGTGAGAATGATATGTTGCCAGATGTATTGATTTGGCTCACAAAGAATAAAAATTAGCTACCAAGTTACATTATCAGGCTTATTTTACAGTAATCCAGAAATCAGAGAGAAGAATGTGCCACAGCAGAAATTCTGTAACTGTAATATCATTAAAATCAAAGAATATTGCTATGCTTATCATAATGAAATTTACAGTACATAAACAAAATGCTGTTTAAGACAAGCTTCTCATTGCAGACCATACTTTTTAAATCAGACTTATACTGTACCACTAATATCAGTCTGAAATATGTTTGCTAATATTGTATTTGCTCAACCTGCTGCATTAGTTTATCTATTTTTATATATATATATATATCTGTGTGTNATGCTTACGTGCTATGGAGTCTTCAATGCAACTTCACAGATTATTGTTCAAATCGCCTCTTTGGCTATGCTTTCATGTGGATTCATGACATATTTTAGCAACACAGGGCCATCATCTGGTAAATACTATGATTTCCATAAATTGCTACACCATGCAGTAACACTATGCAGCCCACATAGCCTGTACTTTCAAAAGTTTTTTTATTTTAAAAATCAAATTGGATCCTGTTAAAATAAAAATCATTTGAAAATTATTTTAATTGGTGTAAAATAATGTATTGTTTGTCATGGTATTTTTCTTGCTAGTGCTCTCTTCTTTGCAGTCATGTGTATTTTGTGGATGTTATTTTCATTACCTGCAATGTACCAAGAATGTCATACATTGCATGTTCTATGTTTTATATTATTTAGTGTTTATTCATATAATTTTGAAGTTGTGATGGAATTTATATATCTGTGATCTCTAAGAAATTGTAAAAATGATTCAGAAGAAGAAATTAAACACAGAATTATAATAGGAAATGGATGTTATTACGACATGTTGAAACTGATGAAATCTCAGTCACTAAAGAGGAAAACCAAATGTCAACTGTAGAAAACGATTATCCTTCCAACAGTGCTCTATGGTTCTGAAAACTGGACTCTGAGCAAGGCTAATGAAGCACTTCTTGGAGGTTTTGAGAGAAATATTTTAAGGAAAATCTGTAGAGCAGTACAAATTAATGGGGTCTGGCTAAGAAGTTATAATAAGAAATTATATAGTTTATTTAATGATGTGATATAATTCAAATAATTAAAATAAATAGACTGAGATGGGCAGGACATGTTATAAGAAGAGAAAATGAACAAATTATAAAAAGAATAATACTTGTAAAATCAGAAGGGAAAAGGGAGGAGATAGACCAAGAATGAGATGGATGGATGGTGTGGAGAAGGATTTGAGGAACTTGGGTTGGATAACTGTAAAACAAAGACACAAGAACAGGATGGCTGGAGAAAGATTTTAGAGCAAGCTAAGACCCACAAAGGGTTATAGTAATAATAATAATAATTATTTAGTGTTTGACCTATAATGTTTTATATGGTTGTACTTACATATATTCTGGTGGCCATTGTGTGTGCACTACCAACCTTCCAAGTCAAAGTCAAAGTCATATTGAAACTGACAGTCAGTCAGTCTGTCTGTCTTGGTGTCGAGCCCCAGCTGGGGCTCATGACCAGATATTTTCATCTTATATGAAAGTTGCTGTCCTGTCCATTTGGGGCACCCTCTCTGATGAGAGGTCGGATCTGTCATTTGTCAGTCATAGTCTGTATTAGTAAGTCCATTGTCAGTATTTAGATATATTTACAATTCAATCTTAGCCTTAATTCATACTTCTATGTACTATATGCCGGTCACGGTAGCCGAGTGGTCTAAGGCATGCACTGTCTTCGCTCGTTCGGAAGCCGGGATCGTGGGTTCAAATCCTACTCGGGGCATGGATGTTTAGTGTTTGTGTACAGGTAGAGGCCTTGCAACGAGCTGATCACCCGCCCAAGGAGTCCTACCAAATGTTTAAGATCTAGTAAACCGAAGTGAAACGGAGAGTTTCATGGAGGTAGGCCTAGGCCCAAATTTGGGCTGTAGCACCACAGGAAAAAAAAATGTACTATATATACAAGGCCTCTGTCAGTTCAGGTTCAGTNAATGTTCTGAAGGCCTTGGCTTCGATGATTTCTATGTGCAATCTCCATGTAAATCTCTTATCAAAAATTACACCTAGATATTTTGCACTATTTACAAATGGAATATTTCTTCCATTTAGAGTAAGACAAGACTCAGGCGGTCGACGACTACTAGAGAAGTAGACCCCCCAAGTCTTATCTTCATTAATTTTAATATTCCAGCGCTCACACCAGGTCTCCATTGAACTGAGACTTCGCTGGAGTTTTCTAACAATAACACCCCCCTTGCGATCTCTTGCATATAGACGGGTGTCGTCTGCAAAGAGGGCCAGGTGAACACCATGTGTTTGGCGGGCATCATTCATGTACAAATTGGAAAGAGTAGGAGAAAGAACCAAACCTTGTGGCACTCCTGCTTGCATTTCCCTTGGTGTTGACATTTCGCCTTCAACTGAGACCCTGAATTTACGCTGAGAAAGAGAGGACCCAATAAGCTTGGTCAAACTGTTCAAGAATTACAATTTTGATAACTTATACAGCAAGCTTGAGTGCCACATGGTATCAGAGGCTTTTTTGATGTCCAAGAACATCGCAGCCAGAGACATTTTATTGTTGAAATTAAGGGTCATGTGGTCCTCCAGCCTCATACATTGCAGTGTCATGCTGTGACATGCACAAAAACCAAACTGCCTTGCGTTGATCAGGCCTCTTTCTTCAGTGTTTTTGAAAGAATTTCAAAATCACTTTTTCGAATAGTGTTCCTGTCGTGGACAGGAGACCAACCTTCCATGGGGTTGTGTCTGATATACATATTTGGAGGAGGGTATGTGCTGCTATCTGGTGTTGAGTCCATATAAGGCCTCAAATGTTGAGTTGTGTCAGCGTGGGTTTTGTTCATGTGGAGGTTGTCTTCGGTGATTAAAGAAATGTGGTATTTCTCTTAACATTTCAAATGTTTGCCTAGCTTTCCTGTTCTTATGAAGTCCATGGTGTAGATTATAGTGCTGTATGTATGCCCTGTATTCAACATGTGGCTTGAATATCCAGAATTGCTATTGCTATTTCTTACTGCAGGTATGTGTTCCTTGTATCTAGTGTTGAATGTTCTTGCTGTCTGCCCTATGTATTTTAGTGGGCATTGTAGGCATTTAATTTGATAAATGCCACTGCTGCTATGTTTATCAGTTTGTGAGTGAGGTCATAATACATTCTGTATCATGTTCTTGTGCAGAAAGCTATTTTGATTTCTGTGCCTTTGAAGAGTTTTCTGATGCTTCTCGCTTCTTTACTGTATGTGTGAATGTCATGTATTCTGTGTCAGTAGTTTGTCCAAAAAGGATGAATAAAATTTTATTTCTGTTCATTTCATTTGCACAAAATCATGGACTGAATGCTGATTCGACCAATAATCTGTAAATTTGTATTGAGAACTGTACTGCATATGTATATATCATGTGCTGATAACTTTATGGTTTCTTTAAACTACTATGTTAAAACCAAAACACTTGGTTTTAAATGCAGTTGTGCATATCTTCTAACTCTTCCAGAGTCTAAAAGAGATACAATTAAAAAACATTATGCTTAAATAATTTCCTGTTTTTCTAATTGTTTAATAGGAGAGAATCCATAGAACCTGTAAATTTGATCATGGTTTTAGAGACATCATTTTGAACTTCAAAAGTGAGAGGTGTTATTTGTCTATTTTAACAAGAATCAGAACCCTGGCCTTAATTTAATGGATGGATAAGCAGATCACAACCAACAGAGACAGAATTTCTGCAGAGCATTATGAAATTAATTAGAAGGCATTAATTTTGAATTGACATTGGACAAGTTCTGAAGATAGGAACACTGCAAAAGCATTTACTAGGATTAAGGATATAGTCATATGGACATGTGTGAAACAGATGTGACAGAAGCATCAGGTAAGCAAAATAGAAAGAAATACTTGAGACCAGAACATCACTCCTAGTAATAACAACCAGAATGAAATGGAGCAGACAAAAGAGGCTTTTATTACAGATATATTAAATAAGGTTTTAATCCCAGAAGTATGAATAATGAAAATGGTAGTATTGGTTGCTCCATTGACCACTGTCATTGATGTAGATGCTGGCTGTTGCCTGATAACTGTATTGATTATGCAATTTCTTTTTATGTACTTGTGATAGGTTATGGCTACTGGGAAACATGACCAGGAGATAATAGGCCTGCCACAGACTGAAGACACTATGGAAAACTTGTCTGAATTCAACTTCAGAAAGTATGCAGCAATGTATTTCTGTGGAAATGTCAACTACCAGTATTCCAGGAAGCCCATCAAGCATTCACTTCTAGACCTTCCACTACCAGCTGACCAGTTGGTAAGTGGTGAATGATGTTTAAAATTTATGCATAGTCCACACAGGATTTTTTTTACCTTTCATCTGTAATTTTTGTCATTCTGCCAGCTGCTTGCTTCCTGTGACTTTAGTAGATAATACAGCTGTGTTAAATAACCAGTTATCCAATTGAGTAGTGCCTTTAATGTATAGAATAAATTCAAAAGACCTTTTAAAATCATTTGTTTCACAGACATTTGAAGTTTGTTAATATCATGTAAGATACAAATTTATGATAATTAATGCAGCTCTTGGACACATTACTTTCACATCTATACTAACCAGAGTGACAGTTAACAAGTACATTTATGATCTGCAAAGAATATTTAATTTATTATTAGAGAATTTATCAGTACACAACTACAGAGGTTCTTATTTGGATTGTTTATATGATAAAAGTTTGAAACGTAGAACAGAATTAGCCTATGAAAGCCCAGTTTTTATATGTTATTTATTTATTAATGGTTCATTTGAAGGGTCTATGAGTAACTCAGACTTTGTAGTTTCAAATATTCGGGTATTAGTGAACAATAACGCGTAACAAACATGGAAGGAAGTGGTTGTGGCTTATCTTCAAGTACAATCCAGACATTTGCCTGGCAGGACTGAGGAAAACCACAAAAAACTTCAGTAGCCAGTCTCCAAGCCAAGCTTTGAACTTGGATCCATCAAATATGAAGCAAGAGTACTGACCACTTGATCACAGGGAATTCTTTATTTTTGTCAGATAGTTTTCCATGTATTTGTAGGAATAAATATAATATTTTAATTATTCAAGATTAATTAAATGTAAAAATATTTTTCTTTACTGTATTTATTGTTGGCCAATGCATATTATTGTATGATCCCTTTAAATCTCATGAAGAATCACCAGAGTTCTGAGTGTGCTCACATTCTTGTATGGCAGTACAGTATAGTGTCAGAAGCAGTAAATGCTATGCCACAAATATTAATGAAAGTAGAATAAATATTTAAGGGACTGTTGTACTCTTTGGACCCTACTGACCGTATAATTAGAGATGTATTTGATTCTGTATAGTAATGAGAATAATGTAGTCTATAACATTTTTGCAGGCTGCTAAAGCTCTTTGGGTTACCATTCTACGGTTTATGGGTGACCTTCCAGAACCACGTTATGATACTGAAGACCCAGACAATATACCTGTAATGTCAAAGATAAATCAAACATTGACCAGGAATTTTCTTAATAGCAAGGAATATAAGGATGCTGAGAGACAGATCCAGGTAGGTAAGGCTATGTGCCAGATGTCATGTGACATTTGTATTCCATATAAATTGTGTGGCATTCCCTTATAAAGCATTCTCTACTTAAACTTATACTGCACATTCTTTTTATGTACTTTAAAGTACAGATCAATCCAAACCATACCATCTTATCTTATCCATTTTAATATTGTCCACCCACCTACATCTTGGTCTTCCTAGTGGTATATTTCCTTCTGGCTTCCCCACCAATGCCCTATATGCATTCTTCTTCTCCCCCCATTCATGCTACATACCCTGTCCATCTCATCATCCTTGACTTGATCACTATAATTATACAAGGGTTGGAACTTTAATAGTGGCACTATTTATTTACAACTGATGCAAAATAGATGCATGTTTTGAAGTTTTACTGTCCTTCAGTGTAGTCACCAGCATTGTGTACACCCTGTTGCCAGTGCTGTGGAAGTTGTAGGATACCTTTAGCAGCGCCTGTTGTGTAGATAGTTCGAATGGAGTGGTCTACTGACTGAAGAATCTCTGGAACAATTCTGAAGCGAATGCCACAAAGTGGTTCCTTCATCTTAGGAATCAAGTTGAAGTCACAAGGGCTTAAGTCCAGGGAGTATGGTGGATGGTACAGCACTTCTCAGCCCCATCTATCGAACAAATCAGCCACAGCTTGCGCTGCATGCAGCCAAGCATTGTCCTGTATAATGATGGGTGGTTTCTGCAGAAAGTGTCACCACTTCTTTCTCAAAGCTGGTTGCAGGTTGTGTTCCAAAAATGAACAGTAATACTGTGCATTGACAGTCTGCTATCAGGGAATGGTATGCGTTAAGATAACACCATCACAGTCGTACACGAGAATCACATACAGCATTGCACATTGCTTGGGTTCTGATGAACTTTTGATTTTCGTGGTGACCTGTAATGACACCATTCATTCGATTGGCATTTCATTTGTGGCTCGTACGATTTGGCCCATGTCTCATCCAGCTTAATGATACAGCATAAGAAAGCCTCTCCTTCGCGCTCATAGTGCTCCAAGTGGATACGAGCAGCATCGTATCTTAGCCTATTCTGCATTTCCATCAAATCATGCGGAACCCATCGTGATGCAATTTTTCTCATGCCCAGGTGTTCCTTCAGAATATGAAGCACAGTCATATGCGCTAATCCTGTCTCTCGGGCCAGCTCACAAATCATATGGCGTTGATCACTCTCCAGTAACATGGAAACAGCATACACTTCTTCACGGACACTAGGACAACCTGGCTGGTGCATGTCTACCACATTTTGGTGTCCCTCGTTGAAGGCCTTTACCCACCTTGCCACTGTTCTGTAAGGTAATGTAGATTCCCCGCAAGCCTCTTGAAGACCTTTATGACACTGTCGTGCTGTACGGCCTCTGGCACATTCAATCTTTATCCAACTCCATTGTTCCTGTTTCGAAAACATCGTAACAACACTACATTAGACCACCAGCTAACACGAGGCTCTGTTCTTCTTGTCACTGCACATGCGAGTGATGTGGGAAGGGAGAGTCCAATTGCTCTGAGGTAAGGTAGGTATGTAACTAACGTGTGGTATATGGTACAATAGGCGAGAAGTGGCCGCAGTACAAGGGCTTAGTCCCACCCCACTAGCATTTAAAAAAAATTGTGATATAAGCGACATTATTTGGTTCTGTTGCACGGCATCTCTACAGCAGTGTTACCACTATTAAAGTTCCAACCCTCATACTTTGAGAAGATTACAAGTTATGATGCTCCTCATTGTGCAGTTTTCTCCAACCTCCCATTGCTTTATCTCCCTTCAGTCCAAATATTCTCCTCAGCACCCTGTTCTCAAACATCCTTAGTCGATATTCCTCCCATAATGTGAGAAACCAAGTTTCACACCCATACAGAACCACAAACAAAATTATAGTGTTATATATTCTAATTTTTATGTTTTTAGACTGCAGACAAGAAGACAGAAGGTTCTGGAGTGAATGATAGCAAGCATTACCCAAGTTCAGTCTCCTCTTAATACATTGCGGACCGGCGATTTAAATATTTAAATCACCCTGGGGCCGCCATTATTAAGCCTACTATCCTAACTTGTGCACTGTTCGCTTTAAAAATTAATATAAAATCTTCTAATTCATTTTGTGAACTAAAATTTTTTGAGAAAACTTACCAATGCTCCTAGAAGTGCTTGAGCATGTGATCTTTCTGGAAACATTCCCCTTTGTGAAGCGCCATTACACAGAACTTGGAAATGTAGACATACTCATCTTTTTGTGAACTGTGCAAACACGGCATTGCCTAGAAGGATGCTTCCCCTTGGAATGTTCACTCTCCACAATTTTCACGAGGGTATGTTTCCACATATCACCCGAGAGTCGCCCTGGGGGGTCCACATGAGGCCTGCGTGGGGTGGGAGTTCATGGGCCCGGTCGCACTAAGTCTGTATCTCCCTCTGGTTCTGCCGCCACCATCTGGTCTGTAGCCCAGGCCTTTGCCACATTCATTAGAAATGCTTTGGATTTTTCAATTTTGAATCAGGGTTTAGATTTTTGTGATTTTTTTTTTAGATTTTTTACTGTCCCCGCAATGTTATTACCCCCATTATCATCAGAGCTACTTTCACTTTTACTGTCTGTGGTCACAATTCTTTGTTCTCCTCTGTCACTGCTGCTCTCTGAATCACCATTACTACACATCTCACAAGCCAGGTCAGCTAGCTCATCGGAGAAGAATTTGTCCTTGTCCATACCCCACCACTAACTACTGGCTGGCACTGTAATAGAGAGTACAAAGTTGAAAAGTGTCATGATGTATTTGTTTCAGTAAAAGGTAAAGTTGTCCCTGTTCTTAACTAATTAAGCATACTTATCTCCTTTCAATAGAAGCATCAGGGGTCTGCATACCGATTTGAAACACTGAAATGTTGTGTGCAGCTGTTTATAAATCTCCCCAAAGACTATGGAGTGGCACATACATTGTAGAGCTGTTAGGCTTTAGAAATAAATCTATGCTAGCTGGTAACCAGAATGTAAAACACCCAGTCTGAACAGTCAAGTTTTAAACCCCTCAGATTTGAACCTCTTGGAATTATTTGTTCACTCCAGCTGAAATCTCAGTCCCACAATGCTGTACACACTACACTCGTGACATGAGAGGTGAGTTCAGGACATTCGACTGCCAGAGCTCACTGTCACAGATATTGTGGACTCACATCACTTACCAGTCACGTTAGCATTCTGGGCCCTGTTAGAATGAGGAAAACTTTAGATCCAGTTGAAAAACTGACAGACTGGATGCTTCACCTCTGAACTCATATCTTCTCCAAATATCCAAATTCTCTCCTCTGATGAAGCTGATAAAACAACATGTGACTTTGCAACATCTTTAGCTTCGGCATACAGGCTGTTAACTAGAAAATCTACAATTTTAGACCTCAAATATGAAATACCTGGCCTAGTTCGTTTATTGAAACATAGAAGAAAGCTCAGAAAATTATGGCAAGAAACCATGGATCCAACATGCAAAACAGCAGCAAGCTGGGTCACCCAAAGTATCAGGAGAATGGTCCAGAAAAGAGCACTTGAAAAATCAGAAACAAAGTTGCCAGATTGTGAAGTCATGCCTCAAGCAATATGACCTGTTGCAAAAATCCCTCACAAAATTGGGAGACCAAAGGCATCATCTGTAATCCATGGTCTGTTAGGCCTCATATTTTATCCAATCAATAAAGCTAACATAGTTGCACACTGCTTAGAAAACCATTTCAGAGTGCATGACTTGTGTGACTGTGACCATAGACAATATGTGGAGGCTAAAGTCAAAGCCCTGCTGGCTGCCATCATTGAAAACATCCTGTGTCATCTCAAAATAAATACAGTCCTTGAAATTGGGAAAAGCCTGTGGTTTTGGTGGCATTCCAAATTAATATCTCCTGCATCTTCCAAGAAGACCTTTTGTGCATCTTGGTCTCTTCCTGGCACCTTGGAAGGAAGTGAAAATCTTAACTCTCCATGATACTTTGCAATGCTCTAAACATGAATTCAAGAGGTGCTCAGTTCAACTCTTGGCAGGAACACTGGCTACACTGACAGATTATTGTGGTTGGTTCTTCTCAATGCCTCTAGGCAAATGCCAAATTAGTGCCTCAGTTAGGCTGTGACTGCTTCCTTCCAAATACTTTCCAATTTTATATTCATCAGTCATCCCACCATTCAATTCTATGCAGCCTAGATATGAACAGCATCATAAAATAAGCCATTAACCTTCACATATTATATGTCTACTTCTTTCCTAGTCTTGTCAGTTTCCCTTAATGTGAACACCCTTTCATATGACATGATGCTAAAAAAATGTGAAATTGATAATTATCATTAAATTCCATAGGATTGATTTGTATGGTGAAGTTCTTACAGATAATTGAAGCATATGTATTAATATAAATACTTTTTTATTTCAGGAAGAAGAAATGGCATTGAAAAGGATGTCTCTAGCAGAGAGGCGAAAAATGATTTCCATGACTCTCAAGCACAAGAACAAGCTGAATGAAAATGTGCGAGGTTTGCTGCAAGATGAGTCTGCTGTTAGTGACTATACTCTTTGGCTGGAGGGTCGACGCACTACTAACCTGGAAAAGCTCCACTTCATCATAGGACATGGCATTCTAAGACCTGAGCTCAGGTAATCATGTTAGGCATAAAGGATGTGTGCACTGATTTGCATATTAGTATCCAAGATAAAACCTAAAAATTGATGTATGTTACTTGTTCTATTATGTGGGTGTGATACTTGGCCTGTCAGTCTAAGGGTCAAGGCGTTTAATAACAGGTTGTCGAGAGAACATTTGGACCTAAAAGAGTCGAAGCAGTTGGAGGGTGAAGAAAATGGAGGGGTTTCAATATTTATACTGTTCTTCTCTTAGTGGTAATATGACTGTATGAGGTAGGATGGGATGGGGATTTCTTTCTCCTTATGTTTTTGGTTTGTTAAACTTCTTTGTTTTTGTTTTGGTCCCTGTTGTATTTTGTCTATGGTGATACATGTAGCATGTATGCATACAAATTGTCACTTGAAAAACATGAAAGGAAAAGAGCACTTAGACTTATGCATAGTTGGGAAACTCATATAAGAATGAATCATAGAGAAATGGGACCTGAGAGTGTAGACTTGATTGAACTGTATTAGGATCTAATTCAATAATAGACTCTTATGAACATAATTATACACCTTCATGCTTCATAAAAGCAGGGAATTTTTTTTTTTTTTTTGCCAGATGAGGACCTATCAACATCTTAAGGAAGATTTCTATGCCATATGTAGTTAGGTGTGAAACCAGTGTGATTCAGATATATATCTCATAATACAGTCATAAGTCTATTAGATTATAAAACTAACTCTGTGCTCTGAATTCCTTCCTCAGAAGCCCATCATCTCTCAGGTAAAGTCCCTTACCTTTTATGGCACTTGGAGATTAATTCATGTACATTCTAAAGGGTTCAGAAGATGGTATCTGACACTCAGGATTACTGAGTTTTTGGACTTGTTCATCATCTGGTATTCTAAAAATCATTAAAGAACACAACATTTTAGAAACTGGATCTGTTTCAGTCTTAAGGTGAAGGGTTGGGAGACACGTATTTTTTGGGGTCTGTTAGAAAATGCTAACTCCAATCACTGTATTCAGAAGTTATGGAAAGACATTAGTCAGGGTTACTGCCACCAGCAGTAATGTAAATTGTGTGTACTTCATGAATAAGCCTAAATATTCAACCACCAAATTTCTGATACTTGTATCAGTCATGTGGAAGTATCGGATTTTTGTAAGTCAAATCGAGAAAAGAATATCTCAGTCTCTGTTAGAACATTAAATTTTCAGTCCAAATTCCCAAAATGTTTCCAACTCCTGGCTTCTCTAAAAACGAAGGTCATTCTTGCACATGCCTAATACACACACACATGCATTTACATGCACCCACATGTGCATGCACGCTTGTGTGCACACACATACATGTGCTTGTTGATGACAAGTTAGTGTGGTTAAATAGAATTATGCAAAGTGATTGATTCCTCAGCTGAAATAGGTGTTTGAGAAAACCACAGTATCTTTGAATTGTCATTACAGGGATGAGATCTACTGCCAGATCTGTAAACAACTGACAAACAATCCAACAAAATCATCACATGCCCGTGGTTGGATCTTGTTGTCATTGTGTGTGGGCTGCTTCCCACCTTCAGAGGAATTTGTTAAGTACCTCAAAAATTTTATTCGTGGAGGGCCACCTGGTTATGCACCTTACTGTGAAAGTCGACTTGATAGGACATTCAAAAATGGACCTCGCACTCAGCCTCCTAGTTGGATTGAGCTCCAGGTTTGTAATAGGGCCTTTACTTGATTATACCTTTATATCTCATAATAACCCTATGGTCATGAACCACTTTATACCAGTTATCATGGATGAGCAAATAATTTTCGCTTAGCCTGGATGTGGAACTCAGAAATGTCCACTGGTACATGGGTGTATGTATGCATTTAATGTATAATTCCATCCGTCTCTCATAATTGGGAGGTTAAGCATAATGAGGAATGTCACCATTTGTACCCACCACCAAATGTCATTAGGATGATTAAATCAAGAAAAATGATACAACATATATTGGAAAGTTCAGAAATGCATACAAAATTTGGGTGAGAAGAGGAAGAGATTACTTGGAAGACCTAGGTGTAGGTGAGAGTATAATATGAAAAGAGATAGGCTAGGAGAGAGTGGATGGGCTTTATCAGGCTTAGGATAAGAGCCAGTAATGGGCTGTTGTGAATACCATAGTAAAACTTTGGGTTTGATAAATTGTAGGAAATTTATTGACTTGCTAAGCAACTATTAGTTTCTCAAGAAGGATTCTACTTTGAGGAATTAGTTACTTAACTATTTAATTACCTCAGCTGTAAATAATTGACATTATTAATGTGCCCTCCTATGCTGCATTCTGTTTCTCTGAAGCTGTTTCACTCTTGTTATCAGTAATTACAGTTGAATTTTGTGTTGTACTTCAGGCCATTAAATCGAAGAAACCAATAGTGATAGACGTGACTTTCATGGATGGTACTGTGAAGAAACTGAGTGCAGATTCAGCTACAACTGCTGAAGAATTGTGCAACCAACTGTATGAAAATATCAAACTTAAGGATCATTTTGGATTTTCTCTCTTCATTGCTCTGTTTGATAAGGTAAATGTACTCAAAATAATATGTTCAGCATTGTGTTGGCATAACAGATCTTATAATGACTTAGCAAGGAGTCTTGAGTCAATGTGCTTTTCTTCCATGTCCATGCAATAACTTCTTATTAAATATAACCCTAGATGGGGCTGAGTAACAATTTTATGGTGGCATATGTTATGATGTTTCTTTATTACAAATCACAACTTGACAACTTATCGTTCATAATTATATTATAATTTCTCATGCAGTGTTATATAACCCATGCAGTCAGTACAGTGTCATCATATAAACCAAAACAGAGACAGATTTAGAGCCAATTTCATCAAAACTAGTTCTGGAAAATTTCATTAAATGTTATTTATTATAGAGACTGATGTTCAGAGTAATAATGTTTTGGCCAAATGTTCCAGAAAATAACTATGACTTTAGAGAGATTAAAAATAAAAATGCTATCTTAGCAGAGATAAATTAGTGAGAATATTCTTAAAGATTCCCTCCCTAATGATTGCTATGAACTTTTTCAAATTTATTAAATTTCCAGGTGCTTGTCAGTACTTTAGAATGTAAATTTTATGTGAAGGGGTTTTGTTTAAATAAGAAATAATTTTCAATGCACAGGCTTTGCAGTTGACATGAGTAGAGTTTTGTACTCATTATTCTAAGTTGTATGAGCATGGCAACAACTCCACATCTGAACATATGAATGACTTGCTGCTGCATGTAAAATAACCTTTTAAACCTGCACTGTGATACTTACGGCCTGCCATTTTTACAGATTGTCAGTACATGCATGTGGAAATCAAAAGTACGAATACAAAAAAATTAGGCATGGATAACAAACATCTGAAAAAGCTAGCCAAGTTGTACAGAAATGCTACCCTCTTGCCATCTGTGAATCACAAGTAAATATACATTCCAGGAATATTTGAAGATGAGGCAAGACATGTAATTGCCAAGCACAGAATATCATTTCTTCTCAGAAGTTTCACCTGCCATTCTCCACACAGTGATTTAAGTTTTATTTCCATTATTTATAGTGAATACAATTACTACAGTAATAAAGTTATTGTTGTTTTTATAGGTATCTTCTCTTGGAAACAAAGGAGACCATGTTATGGATGCCATATCCCAGTGTGAGCAATATGCTAAGGAGCAAGGAGCTCAGGAGAAAAATGCACCCTGGAGATTATTCTTCCGCAAGGAGATATTTACACCTTGGCATGATCCTACAGAGGATTCAGTGGCCACTGATCTCATTTATCAGCAAGTGATTCGAGGAACCAAGTTTGGTGAATACAGATGTGACAAGGTCAGTTCTCAACTTTGCACAACATATAATCATAAGGAAAAAAAATAACATGTATATGTTTGGTGTTAATGCTCTAATTCCAAAAATCAGTGAACCAGCTGCTTTCTTTATTCTGTAACTAACAGCATGGAGCATAGTCCTTGAGAAGCTAACAGTTGCTGAACTGTTCAAAAAAAGTCCTGCCTTTTATGAAACTAAGATATTCATTACTGTTTACAAGATCTTGCCACTAGTTCCTGTACTGAGCCATATAAATCCAGTCCAGTCTCACAAAAAGAAAAAAAAAACTCTGTGATTTCAGTTCACAAGCAAACTATACTGACTGAGCAACCGCCACTTCTCGGCAAAGTTTAGTGCCAACCTTTGCGGATAGAGGGTGTCACGTGGTCAGCGCAATGAATCCCCACAGCCGTTAATTTCGGTTTTCTAGACTGGAGCCGTTATTTCATTTCATCAGGAGGCTGAGTGGACCCCGTTCCAGACCCACGACTTCTCCGAAAAAATCTTGCAGTGCCGGGAATCGAACCTGGACCTCACACTCTGTTAAAATATTTGTTCTGATATTATCCTCATATCTTTGCCTAAGTATTCAAAATGGTTTATCCCAGTTGGTTACTGTACTAAAGTTTTGTATACGTTCCTGTTTTAATTTTATGAACCTTATGTAACCGAATAAAATTTGAAGGTCTTAAGAATGTATTTTTCTTTCAGGAAACTGACATCGCCATGATGGCTGCTCAGCAGTATTATGTGGAGAATGGTGCAAATTTGGATCCAAGACACTTATCCAGTCTGCTGCCGAATTACATTCCTAACCAGTTCCTGAAAAGTAGTGGAGGACTCAGCAGATGGGAAAAACTTGTTGCAGATGCCTTCCAGAAGGTAGACATGATGCTTACGCTTGCCACGCTAAAGGAACTACAATTTTTATCAGTGTATATTGACCTTACACTGCTGTCTGCAAATATACATTTATATAGTCTGCTAGTATACTGATTGTGTTACAGCCCTATCTGATATTCATAGTAGTGTAATTAACTGAGAACTGACCATGATGCCTTTATAAGGTATCCCATATGGCCCATCCCTTATAAGTCAGTAACTCAAATAACCAAGCAACTTATGCAATTTTTATATACGCTAATTTCACATTAACACAGTTTCTAATTTTTTATTAACATTTTTTGCTTAAGACTAAAAAATTATTAAATTATTTCTCTAAGACAAAAAGGGCAACATTTTTAAACACCTAAAATGAATTGTAGTGAAAGTAAATGGAATTACATATTTTCTAATGAAAATTAGAGGCAGTGAAATCAAAGGAGTAACAAAAATTATGGTCACCTTTTGCATAATGGTATTTAGAGCTGTGTGACCACTTGTGAGAATGCAGGCCGAGCCTAAGTATGAGAATACATATAGGGGAAAGTGTCAGCCTAGGAACATTGCTTATGTTATCTTTCCTCTCACTGAAGGGACCTTTTCTCTTAATGAAGAATGTTGGCAACAGCAATGTTATGTGTGCACAAATGAGTCAATTCAGTATTGTAGCCATAAGTTGGGAAGGAGTGTATCATTGTGTTTTTAGCCACTCAAAGTAAGTTACTATTGAATGTTCTCATGCTTCTTTGCACTTTTGTGCTAATTTAATATTGAAATTAATTGTTATATATTGTGACATGATGGCTGAAAACCAGCATATGCTGGCCCAGGTTCAATCCTGGGTCTGGTCAAGTGGGATTTGTGGTGGACAAAGTGGCACTGGAGCTGGTTTTCTTCGAGTACTTCGGTTTTCCCTGCCAATCTTCATTCCACCAAATTCTCCATCATCATAATCACCCGGAGCATACTACAATAGGCCAATCAGTGGCCACCGTGCCGAGTGGACCCAGTTGGACTCCACCCCCCACTAAACAAATTTTAAGTTCGATGGATCAATTTCATGTCTTGAGATTTTTCCCAGCACTTGTCGCCATTGAGAGATAGCATGGAGTGGAAACAGTTTCCCCTCCTATCTTTTTAATAGTACCCTGAGGTTCAACAGCCAACATTCCTAGGTAAATACAGCTGATGTACCAAGGGATCAATGATATTGTGTGTACAGCCATTGCTATGCAATAGGCAAATAAACAAATGGCTGTTTCTGAACAACATGTCAGTACACACATTCCTGTGGAAACAATATCTAGGATATCACTAGGCAGCTGCCCATGACAACAATAAGGGGACTGCTGGAGGCGGTGTTTTTTATTGGGTCTGCCCCAAGGCTATATAGCAGAGATGCCAGGCTGGTGAGGAGTTCAGTTCAGGGTTGGCAGTTCAGTTGAGCTTTTCAAAGGAGGCTGAGAAGAGATGGCGTTATAGTTGAATTGTCAGTTGACAAGAGTTTAGTTGTGGGATATTTGCCAGACAGTAATGATGTGAATGTGGGAAGCTGAAGAATCTCCACTGTTAAAAGCCATTGCTAGGGAATGGCTTTTGAAGACACAGCCGGCTGGAAAAAAGGTTTAGTGGGTGCTATGGTGATTTGTAAAGTGTGGATATTAGCGGTAGTACTGTACTTATTTGTTATTCTGAGTGGTGTGTACAGGTGGTCAGTAAATACAATTCACCATCTATAGTCACTTCTAAGTACGTGACAATATACACTGAAAAGCCATCAAATTACTATTTCATATTACCTAGTTAAATGCTGAAAAAATATATGTTTAAGCAACTGGGAAGTTAAAAAATCAAATTAAAAAATGTATCCCAAGATAGGACACCTTCCCCTACAGTAAACACTGTTAATCTTAAAAATGGGCCACTGTCCCATTGCAAACCAGGCAGAAGTCAGGAATGTTAGAAGCATTAGCTCCAGCAGCATCATAGTATGATGTTAGATGTAAATGTAACATAAGCTTCAAATTTATTTTACAGAGTTATTTTGCAAAAGAACAAGTACCTGAAACAAAGGTGAAAGAGGATATTGTGGCATATGCCATGATGAAGTGGCCACTTTTATTTTCAAGATTTTATGAAGCAGTGAAAATATCAGGTAAGATACTGCATCACAGCTTAATGAAGATACTTGGTATCTATCTGAACATTCATGTATTCAATATCATATATTAAGTTTGAGGTTTTCATGATGCTGACTATGAAGAATATTGTCATCTCAGATATGATGACATGTAATATGGTAGAAATTTATTGAATTGGGGAGGAATGTATTGTCCCCATTTTCAGGATTAAAATTGCCTGCATCTTGCTTGTTTGGTTTGCTTTTTCACCCTGGAGATGGAGGCAGTAAGTTCCTCTGAAATGTGGTACACTTGTATCAGACTGCTCAGTACCATATTCCAGAAGATGGTACTCTTCCCTATCATATTGTAACGTGTTTCGTTACTGAATACGCCGTAGAGATCGTTAATTGGTTTATTCAACAACCTACAAGTAATGGCTACAATTAATTATTACACAGTTGCAGGGTTTCACACTTTATAACCCTAATCGCATTAATCTGTTTACCACTGTTGCGGGGTTTCACGATTTATAACCCTATGCGCAAATCAGTTCACTCTGCCTTCAGTAGTCTACACGTTTACAGTAGGGGAGCTATGTATCACTGTATCACGCTCTCCCAATCACACAATCACACACACGTCCAGTTCTTCTTTCCGCGACAGCTGCTATACTCCAACGGTAGTCAGCTGACTGGAGAACTGTTGATAACACACTAGCTCGTAGGCTTGCTCGGAACTATCTTTGGTGATGGCCACGTTATAACTCGGCGACTGCTGCTATATGTCAACTCGACTCGGCGACTGTTACTTTATAACTCGGCGGCTGTCACAGTACAACTGCCTGGTAGCTGCTGTGCAGTTCCCTTATATATCCGCAGTGGTGCCTGTGGCGTGCCATGTCACAGTAGGAAGCGGTTCCGCGTCACCGCGCGTTGCATAGCTACCAGGATGCGGGGACTCGGCTAACTTCGGCTCCGCTCATGACGTCACCACAGGGAGAGTGGCGGGGTGATGACTTGCCTATTACGCGAGCGCTACGTTACCGCCACATTCCGCTGGGGAGGTAGGGGTCAACATGTCACACTATATTTGTATATAATGTATATGACACAATGAATGTAACGTGTATTCCCTCACTAATACTGCTATAATAATAAAATATTGTCACGTGACAAATAAATTCACATGGGTCTCGGATTCAGCAAATCTTTATTGGACACTCACACTTATACATCATTCAGTTATTATCGCCTGTGATATCACTTGACTTCTGGCGACTAGGTTCCAACTATGCTAGATCTCGACTGTCATCGGCAGCGGCTATCCCAAGACTGTATCCTTCGGCGGCTATTTCCAGACTGTCTTATCGAATGTATTGCCTTCTTATATATCTGTGACCATTGCTATGCATTGAGCCTTCTGTTGTAACCGTGGAGACTCCTGTTAGAATTACAGTACTGCTATTGTTATTTCCTATGCAACGGTCTATTCTACCGTTTCCATGGAAGTATCTCTTCTGGGTTCTGAACATGTGACAGTATTGTGGTTCTATACATCCACTTCCCCATACACCTTCATGGCATAGTGCTTCATTCATTGAGCACTGGGACAACTTTACCTTACCTTACCTTTCGATAATATAGATAATGTTTGGAATAGTATGCACTGAACTGGTGAAGTCTGCAGTTTTAGAGTCTTCATTAAACAGCTGATTATTAATCTGCTAGTCAAGAATTCCCTGCTATTCTAGAACCTCATATTCATCACTGTGTTCACAGAAGCTGCCATTTAAATCTACTCTTAACAACGTGTTTCTCTAAGATACACATTAATATTTTTCATTCATTTGTGCTTAGGTCTCCGAAGTAGTCTTTTCCATTGAGGTTTTCCAGCCATTTTCATTTTTGTTTTGACATATACTACATATCCTGCCTTTCTCATTCTTCTTGACTTAATTATCTAAATGTATCTGGTTTGAAGATGTTGTGAAGCTCCTCATGTAATTTTCCTGGTTTTCCTGTTACTCGTTCTTCCTCTTTCATAGGCCCTATATTTGTTACACCATTTTATGAAATCTTGGTCTTTGTTTAATTTCTACTATCAGTGTCATTTGTTATTGTACAGGAATGTGAAAAATCATACACTACAGACAACATCCAGAGCTGATGTCTGGTATTCAGAAACGATAAATCTGCTCCATCATCATGAACATCTCACTGAAGCATGTGTTACCATTGATGTCCACTTACACTGAGCAGTCCCAGAAACAGTTATCATATCCAGACATGTTTGAATATTATTTGTTTATTTGTGGTTTATTTAATAACCCTGTAGTTGTTCACACTGTAAAGTGTTGAATTGTAGGATGATTAATCAGTAATAAGTTGGGAAGGATCTAAAAGGAAGCAGCTGTGACCTTATTTCAGGCATTACCTGGCATTCATCTGGATGGACTGAGTAAATCCATGAAAATCCTGTGAGTAGACAGGACCTCCCAAGTATGACTCAGAAGTCCTACTCACTCATCTGTGATATTGGATCTGAACATGATGCACAATACATTGAACGTCATATATATAATTAATTGGTTTCAGTTTAAGTTGTATCTTAAATCTGACATTTTCATCTTATAGTGATGAAGATATTATACTGCATTACTCATACCCTAACTTGTACATTGTCCTGCAGGACCAGAAATGCCAAAGTACAACATCATACTGGCAGTGAGCTGGACTGGAATTTATTTTGTTGACGATGAAGAACAAGTTTTGTTAGAGTTGTCTTTCCCAGAAATCACTAGTGTGGGTCACAATAAGTAAGTTCAATTTCTTTAGGACAGTATGCGCCAAAAGATACAGTACTAAAATGAAAAGACATCCTGTTGATACCACTGTCTATTCGTATGAAGGCCCCTTGCACAACAGAACGTTCTCAAATCCTGAAGAAATGGTGTGATCACCATGTCCCTGTAGTGTTTTGGGGTGATGGTAAGAGCATTACCTTCCTCATCCTCAATGAAATAGGGGCCTAATATTCTGTGTGCTGAGATGGCACACCATATTGTCACGTGTGTACTATGTAGTGGTTTCTGGATGATAACATCTGGCCACTCAAAACCAAGGAAGCAAGTTGTCTGGTGACCACTTCCATATGAGCGGAAATAATACTCAACTATGAATACTTTTTCCTCTGTCGAGAGACCCATTTCCAACAACAACTGCACAACACCACTTCCTTTTCACTACTGGGAACGTGTGCAGCTGGAACTATGCCCCGTCGACAAATGCCCATGTGCATTCAAGATGTGCGAGTTTCAGTACTGTTAATTTTGGCACATACTGTACTTCTTAAGCTTGACTTACAAATTGTAATATATTTCCACCCATTTATCTACTTCATAGTAAAGGGAATTTATACATTACAGGAATTTACGTATAAAGATGTTCACTTTGAATTATGCTATGGATTTTACTATATTGAATGTAAAAGATAACTACTGACGTGCACCAGAGTGGATCAGCCTATGACAAAGCCCTTTACATTGTTCACTGTCCTTACTCAAATATGCCTTCCTTCTCTTTGGTCTCACCTACCCTTATATATCTCCCCCCTCCTTCTCCCAAATTTACACCATTTTCTCTTCTGTTTACTTTAAATAATAAGTTTAAATTGTTGCCTCTACGGCCATTTCTGTCACATTTGTATTCCTCTCAGTAATTCTGTGTAACACGTTAAACTATTTCATTAGTGAATAAAAATCCAAGAACACCAGAAGTCAGGCAGAAGTTGCCTGTGAAAGAAGATTGTACTACTTATAATGCCTATTAATTCCGTGTGTAGTGAAACCCATCTGACTCGCGGGTACTGTGAAATACCAAACAGCTCCCCAAGAATGTGATTTGTTGACATTTTCCAAATAGTTGTACACTTTTGACCATTTAAATATGGTTACAAAGTTATGCTTTTCCACTTAAAGGAGAATATAACATTTCGTGCCTCTAAGTGCATGATGCAGGCTGACCCTGGAGCAGTTTGTAGGTATTCAACTGATCAAGAAATGACTGCTGTACAATCCAACAGTTTATCACCATTTGTGCTGAAACTTTTATACTGAGCCAGTTAACATCTTCACAGTCAGTTTTTTTGCAGATACAGTTTAATATTATCCTTCTATCTATGCACATATTTCCTAAGTGGTTTCTTCCCTAGAAGTTTTCAGACTGTATTGTACAAGTATATGCATATCTTATTTCCCCCATACATGATGCATACACTGCTCATTTGATCCTCTCTTATTTAATCATTTGAAGAGTTACAGGTAATTTATTCAGTGAAAACTGTTCATAAGGTGAAAATTTGTAAATCGAAAATGATACCCATTACATTTTGTAAAAGTAACTGATTTGTTCACGAGTCCCAGAGAAATCCCACACTACTTTTAACATGTGGTAAATAAGCATTAAAATAAGGACAGTATTACTTTTTTCTGATATTTATTGTTGCAAATATCTTTGTATTATTTTAGTCACATTTATTTTCTCATGGCTGATGCAATGCAACATTGCAGCTTGTAGCCAAAATTACTGCTTTCATTACTTCCTTTGACTTATTGAAATATATTTCACTTGTTAGGGAGCCCTATGGGCACAAACAATACAGATATTTATGGATAAAATGTAAGCATCAAGAGCACAGCTGATTCTGTACGATCATGAGGTACACTGCCAGACTGGGAATGTAGGAGGTGCATGTGGGTGAGGATGTCTAGGAATGTTAGCTATTCATTGTGGTGAAAAATAGGTGCAAATCAGTACACTTCATTTGTAGAGAGTATTAGTGAATCAAGTGTTCATAAAACAAGGGATATCTGTATTTCATGAAATGACTTCTATATTTTAAAAATTATTAACCTTTCAGGACAAATCAGGGAGTAGTGCCTTTGTTTTCACTTTCAACAATCCATGGTCATGAGTTTGTGTTCCAATGTGTAACTGCTGAGGATTTCCATGAGCTGGTGAGCTACATGCTAGATGGCTTGAAGAAACGCTCCCGGTATGTCATAGCTCTGCAGGACTACAGCCCACCAGGTGTGTTGCACAGTTCTTGTTTCCATTCTTTGTGTTAGAGTCAAAAAGATCATGAATGTTTGCCCGTGTGAGCTTACCTTTGTCATGACAGATTTTGCTGTACACTGACATTGAAGTAGTTACCTCCCATTGCCACATATTTCTGCCAGCAACCATTACACTGGTAGAAACTCTCCTTTAAGCCTTTTATGTGACCTCCTGGTATGCTGAATGGAAAGTGTCCCTTCAAGGGGGTTTTCATTCTTGGGAATAGATAATTGATCTGTGGAGTATGGAGGTCTGGAGCCCAGTATTGCTGTTCTTGGTCAGACACTTCTGCACCAGAAGAGACTAATGAGCTGGTTCATTGTCATGGTGGAGCGACCAATCTCATATTCCTAATGTGAGGCTGTTTGTGGAAAATAGCTACTCACAGATGGTGAAGATTGTCTATGCAGGAAAGTACAATATTTACTCAACTGTAAAAGGTGTTTTCTTTCTTTACCTTTATTTGGACTCGGAGTCTGTGGAGCCACCATGTATTTTCAAATCAGGAAAAATTCACTTACTCGTAGAATCATTTGATTTTCATTACTGTTACTACCATACTTGTTTAGAATTATACTGTTCTATATTTTTTTAAGGGTTTGCCATAATTTTACAAGAAACCTATTTTGTGATCATGACTGAATAAGTGGAAAAAGGATTGTGAATTTGTATAGGAGAATTATACCAACAAATGTTATGTGTGTAGTACATGCAGTTATTCCCGTAATATTTGCCATTTATATTGGAGGTTAATTAATTGATTTCTTCAGGTGGGGTGAAACTGAATCCACTTGGTATGTTGATCACTAGTTAGCCTATTGTACCAGCCCTGAATGGCAAATGATGATGACTGTGAAGCAGTCATTGGATTGAGAATTGGCATGGGAAACCGAAGTTGGATTGAGAATTGGCATGGGAAACCGAAGTACTCAGAGAAAACGTACCTCAATGCTACTTTATCCACCACAAATCCCATATGACCTGACCTTGGATTTAACCCAGGGCACCACAGTGGGAAGCTGGCAACTAACTGCCTGAGCTATGGCATGGCCTCTGTATTTCGTATGGAAAGTTCCTGGACTAGGTCAAAAAAGTAATACTGGCTTATCTTACTCAATTTTGGTTACCATCTCCTTCAGAATAGTCTTCCTGGGAGCATATACAGCGATCCCACTGTTTTTTCCATGTTTCAAAATAACCATGAAAGTCATTTTCCTTAATGCTGTCGAATACTGCTTGCAGTTCCCTTTGAGTGTCAGACACTGTTTCAAAATGTTGTCCCTTCAGTTTCATTTTCAATTTGGGAAACAAAGCAAAATCACAGGGGCTAAGTCCAGTGAGTAGGGAGGCTGGGTGTTTTTCATCACACATTTTCTCTCAAGCATCTCAAAACATCACAGTACGAGTAAAAGTCAGAGTTGACCATAGTGTTAGAAGGAACAAATTCAGGGTGAACAATCCTCTTCACATAAAAAAAATGAGCATGCTCTTTGTTGAACTCCAGACCTCTTGCACCTTTTTTTGATCTTGGTGATTGTGACATCTTCCACTGTGATGATTGTTGCTTAGTTTCTGGATCATAACCATAAATCCAGCTTTCTCACCCGTTATGATCCTAGAGATAAAAGTTGGGCCCTTGTTAGCCTTCTCTTATAGCTCAAAACACATGATTACCAGCCACTGCTTTTGATGATTTGTCAAGAGAACAAACTTCACAGCATTGCAACACTTGTTCAAATTTCCTGTTGAGATCTCCTGACAGACTCCATGACTGATCCCAGCGGTGTCTCTGAGCTCATAGATTCTTTCATGATGGTCTTTATGAATGAGTTCTCAAGTGCTTTCAACATTTTCTGTCATTTTGTTGGTGCTTGGTCACCCTGAACATTTGTCGTCTTCACCTGAAACTTGAATGCCATTCAAACACTGCTGTCTGGCTTAAAGAATGTTCTTCAAAAGCCTGACAAACATTTCAAAGGCTTCGGCAGCAAATTTACCAAGCTTCACGCAAAACTTGATGCAGCCACATTGCTTGGTTTTGCCATCCATTGCAGACAAAATGAAACACGAAGTTGAAAAAGTTGTAAAAACAATGCATGTTCATTGCGCGGTTCGACATGGCAGACTGACACAGTAGGCTTGCAGAAGTGTGACCATGGCCTCCCCTCTCATCTTCTTCCATGGAGGCAGGTACAACAACAGTCCAGTAACTTTCTGATAGCACGTTGTATAATAGGTGTACAGTACCTTATGTCAAAAATTACAGCATTAAAATCTTTTTAATTACAAGTCTTTTAAATTGTAGTCCATATAAATTCACGTTTATGTTATTGAAGTAATGATATATCTGTCCTTTTCCTATTCTCATTGTCTTTTTATATCAAAAGCTGATAACACTATTCTGAATCTGAAAAATGAAATTTTTTGTAAAAAGTATAAATATTTGAGTAAAAATTCAAGCTATTGAAGTATTAGTTTGGGCTGTTTTTCTTTTTATATGCTTATCAATATTATGTGGAATAACTCACAGAGATATAGAATTTATGTAGAACTTTAATAAGGAGAACTGCATATATGCTTAGGTAAAGTAAAGCTTGTTATATTCGGTTATGCTGCTCTTTAATTATGAATAATTGTCTGCAATGATGCCAAATATCATATTATAAGCATCTCTGTAGGTATTGTTTCAATATGTATTCTTCCTTAGACTGCCTCTGTGGTCTAGTGGTCAGAGTTCTTGCCTACAGATCCAGAGGTCTGGGTTCAATTCCCAGCACTACTAGATTTTCTGAGAAGTAGTGATTCTGGAACGGGGTCCGCTCAGCCTCGTGAGAATAATTGAGGAGCTGTTTCAAGGAAATGGCAGCTCCGGTCTAGAAAACCGAGATTAACGGCCGTGGTGATTCGTTGTGCTGACCACATGACACCTTCTATCCACAAAAGTTGGCACTAACTTCACTGACAAGCGGCAAACGCTCAGTCAGTATAGTTTGCTTGCAGATTCAAGCCACGGAGTTTGTTTGTTTTATGTATTATTCCTTATGTTGTCATAAATGTGTTTTCATTAAATATTATACTTACATGTCAGATACAAGATGCTGAATATATGTAACGTTTTTTTATGCAGTTGATGGTCAGTCAGTGCTCATATTGCAAAAGGGAGACATGATTGAGCTGACAGATGGAAATCTGGGAGAAAGTGTGCTGTCAGGTGAATGGGGTGAAGGCCTGTGTGAGAGGACACAAGTGAAGGGTTGCTTCCCAGTGGAGAGTGTATATGTGTTACCTGCAATAAAACGACCACCATCAGATATTTTAGTAAGTAAACTCTACTATCCAATTGCAGTTCTATAAAATTACAGAAAGTAGGCCTAATGCTATGTATGCACATGATTTATACACTGCTCAATAGTAATGCCACCACATCCAGACTGAGTCTGAAGTCTTCTGTCTCTTAACTACCCAGGAGTAAATTGGTTAGAATAAAAGTATAAATAAAGTAAAGGTATCTCTGTAATAGGCCATGGAGGCCCATAGGGGTGTGAGATGTTGAGGCTTCCACATTTTCTATACAATCAGCTCATAGATGATGGTAAGGTTGTCAGCCTTACGCGCCGGCCACCCTTTACCCACAAGAATATTCCTGGTACTCATTTCTGTTAGAGGCTGAGTTGACCCCAGGGCCATAGTGCGGCTGGAAGGATTAGGTAAATTGAAAAATTCCACCTCATCAAGATTCGATCCCTCAACCTTCCAGCTTGAAGCATAGTGCCTCAACCAGCTATGCTAAATTGGTTAGAGTACATACTAAAATCTAATCTCAAGGCTTATAATTTAGTCCCCATGTGTCCTCATGGCAACTCTTTACTGACAGAATTTAGAGGCTACCATGAGACGCATCAACGATTGTCAGTGTTCTTTTCGATATAGAAAGAAAAGTGTTTTGTGTTCCACTTTTTGCTGTCTATGCGCAACTTCAGTTAATTTTCACTCATCTTCTCTTTATTGTATATCACTACATGTTTCAGCCTAGTATGCCATCATCAGGTGTACAAGTTGTGATGAAGGAATCTGCTGCTGTGCTGTAATGTTCTGCTTTCCTTATGTAATTGCCTCGGACTAATTGTAGATTATGTGGGTTATTGTGCTGTTGCCATGCACATGTCTGGCTTATCTGCAGCATGTGAGGGGGCTATTCATTCATTCATGAGTAATCTGTCAGACGACAGGTCCACAGCCTCTTCCAATGCTCAAACCCCCTCACCACGATAAGGTGGAGACACCAACGAGGGGGGTGAGGGGGCTATATTAGAGCTTTATTTTAAGGTACATATTTATGTATATTCTGTCTCTGCATATCTGATGCTACTTACAGTTACATTGGTGTGAAAACCGTAAGTACCCACCATGCTGTGGTGACAAAGAACCCACCTAACATAAGAAGAAAATATATTGTGATGTGTTGCACTATGCAGGACACTCCCCTTCCTCCCCAGTGGTGACTTTGACTTGGCATCGGAGCGCTGTCGTTACTACAGTAACAGGCAAGTCAACACTCCTTCCCCTACCCCGCCAGTGGTGATGAAACACTTTTGGAGCGTTGCCATTGCTATGGTAATAGGCCAGTCAGCACCCCTTTCCCCGTGGGATGCCGCAGTTGCTACGTAGCCATAAACAACTCCCGGCAGCAAAGCCCAGCAACACTGGTAAACACGCGACTAGGCAACAAGGAAGCAAGGCGTTTTCCCGTTGTCTGGCTGAGGGTTTATAAGAGAACTACACTGCCTACGGAGACAGTTAAAGTGTAGCAGCCTATGAAGCGAGTTTAAATGTAGCTGTTGCCGGAGACAGTTGGAATCTAGCAGTGGTAGCAGAAAGAAGAATACTGGAACGTGTGATTAGAAGTGATAGCGTGAGAAGCAGATGCTTGGCTCACAAGAGAAGTAATTGGGAGTGTGTGACACAGTGACACTGGAATAGCTCCCGTACTGTGAATACGTGTAGACTACTGAGGACAGAGTGGACAGATTTGTGTGTAGGGTTTGTAAAGTGTGTAAACCCATAACATTGTTGTAATTAATTGTAGCCGAGACTTGTAGGTTGTTAAATAAACCAATTAACAGTCTGAACGGCATCTTCAGTAGCAAAATATGTTACAGTATATACATAATAAAGGTCATTCATAATATTTATTTGTTGTAGGCTTTATTCAAGAAGGGGGATCCATTTGGTAAGCAGAATCAGCAGAAAATAAATTTGACACACACTCGTCACAAGCTGTACACACTTGCTGAATATGCCAGTCAACATTTCAGGTGGGTCACTACAAACATTTTTGTAGCATTTCTAATTTCAGTGTTTCCTACTAGAATTGCTTTACTTTCTGATTGCTATATTGCGAAATGCTACTTCAGAGATATAGGTGTAGGATTTGGATATTTTTATTTTAGCATCCATCTTATGTTTTGTAAGAACTGTTGTATCAAAATAAAAAATATATTCATTCTTTTTATTAAATATAATGTAGTACATGATTCTGATTGGTTACTAGCCGAAAGGTAGCAGGATAGTGGCAGAGTTGCTATCTTAGAGCATTCACTAAAGAAATACAACAAAGACTGCAATGAATTCATATAATTTTTTCATTATATTGCAGACAGCACATGAGAGTGGTGGTGAAACTGTCATTTTCAATACATTTTGCTGAGCATTTTAATTTTAATATTGATATCATTATGTTCCTATCTATGCCTAGACTCCCAAGTGGTCCCTTTCTTTCTGCTTTCATGACTAAAATAATGTAGACATTTCTCACAATTGCATGAACACACTGTATGAACCAGTGGTTTTGTCTGCAGGGCCAGTCAGGTTGTCACAGTCCCCAAAGGCCAAATACTGACATCAGCAAAGCGCTCCACACAGGAGGAACTGTGGAAACACTCTCGTGAGCCCCTTAAACAACCACTGTTGCAAAAGCTGATAGAGCATGAGGAACTGGCAGCTGAAGCATGTACAGCATTCACTGCTGTCCTCAAATACATGGGAGACCTGCCCACCAGACATGCACGTGCTAGTACAGAGTACACAGACAAGATATTCAGTGGTCCACTGAAAAATGTAAGACACTTAATTTTATATGGATCATATTGAAAACTATATAGAAAAATATTTTGGATCAACAGTAACAATCACAAAGAAGTTAACAGTTGATTAAATACAACGAAGGCTTACTGCAATTTATTTCACTCTCTTTGTAATCCTGTCTTCTGTCAAAGAGCTTATAGGTTAAAATATGATAATTATAGTTTATCTGTTATTTTGTATTGGTGCAAAACTTGTCTCTTACCCTAAGGGAAGAACTTAAATTAAGAATATTTGGAACAGGGTGTTGAGGAAAACATTTGGATCTGAAAGATAGAACGCAACAGGAAGATGGGGGAAATTGCATAATAGAGACTCCAAAATTTGTACTTTTATTAGGGTGACTGAATCATGGGGCTTGCGATGGGTGAAGTATGTAGCATGCATGAGTGAAATGATAATGCATTCAAAATTTCAGTCAAAATACCTTACAGGAAGAGGCCACATGGGTGGATGATATTAAAGTGGGCCTAAAGAAAGTGTGTGATTATTTTGAACTGGATTAATTTGCTCAGGATGGGTCCACAGTTTCTTGAACATCTGATCTACCATCAAATTTTCAGTAATAATTCTGCTCTGTGGAGTAGTATTTGTGAATTTCTATTTTGTCTGTGGTTCCATGCATGTTTTTAAAGGCCAGAATGATGCCTTCATGGAAAGACACTGTTGTTTGTTTGTTTTATAATTTATTTAATGATGCTTTCGGTATTGCAGGCTGTATATCTTTGGGTGGTAGGATGATAGGTGAACCGTAAATTTGAAGGAAGTACCATGACCTGATTGAGGTACTATCCCAACGTTTGCCTGGAGGGAATGAGGAAAACAAACCATGAAAGATTCCCCTCAGGGTAGTTGGTATCCTGGTTAAGTTTGAAACTGAGCATCTCCCAAATACAAGCCTAGACCAACCTGGTCGGTGAAAATATTGTTGGGGAACACGATTTTGAAGGATAAAGTTATAGAAATTCATATGTTTTACCATCCAGGACATGTTACGTGATGAGATGTACTGCCAGATAATGAAACAGCTGACAGACAACAGGAATCGGCTGAGTGAAGAAAGAGGTTGGGAACTTATGTGGATGGCTACTGGGCTGTTTCCTTGTAGTCAAAATCTATTGAAGGTAAACATTGCAGTGTATGATAATTATCATAATTGTCCTGTCAGGTATTAGACCATGTGGCATGTTATTGTTTTGTGTCACCTAATAAGTGGCACTCCTGCTCTTTTCTTCACTCTAGGCAGGTATGCAATAACATTTATGATGATAAATGTACCATTGAAATGACTGAAACTGTTGGTCACCTTCAGTATGAAAGAAATGAGGTAGGTGGAAAAGCAATGGGAGAAGGAGAGGTTGTGTTGTGTTCACTCTTCAATTAAAAGATATATATTGTGATTTTAAATTCTGTTTTTGTATTCATTCATGGCTTGTGCAATGATAGCCCAGTAAGTCAACCAACCACCAGTGCTGTTGCTAACTTGGTCATCATAAACAGACAAAATAAGTTTATGCTCTGTCATGAAGTGTTCCTCACTCTCCAATACTTATACAGGATGAAAGTAAAATAATGAAATATTTTGTGAGACTCTTTGGGGGACTATGAGGATAATGTTAGAATGGATTTTAAAGAAAATAGCATGTGAGGATGTGGACTAGATTAACCTGACTTACAATAGACTTTTGTGGTGACTTCTGGTAAACATGGTAATGATCCATTGGGTTCCATGAAAAATGAAGAATTCTTTGGCAAACAGAATGATAGATTCTCGAAAAGAAGTATGTCCATGGAGTTAGTTTTCCTAAGTTTTTTGGTTAATTGTTGCCATGAGACATTCTGCATACAAAGCGTTTTATACATCCTTGACAGGTGCAGCTTTTGAATTTTTTAGGAACTGACACGGTTTCTACGTTCTCGTCAACATCCTCTTGCACGAGATTCTTTGCACCGTATTCAAAGAATTCTTAGGAATGGGCAGAGAAAGTATCCACCTCATCAAGTGGAAGTTGAAGCTATCCAGCACAAGTCCACACAGATCTTCCACAAGGTCTACTTCCCTGATGACACAGATGAGGTAATTAGTCTAGGATCATTTTAATAGACACTGTTGGATGAAGTATAATAACATTGTTTTTTATATTAATACATTAATATTCATATAAAGAAAACTAAGGCATTTTGTTCAGTATTTGTTCTAAAGCTGTTTTACTTTTCATTCCAAGGCTTTTGAAGTGGACTCTTCCAGCCGTGCTAGAGATTTGTGTCAGAATATAGCAGAACGACTGGATCTGCAAACAAATGAAGGTTTTAGCTTGTTTGTGAAACTCTGGGATAAGGTTTTCTCTGTCCCAGAAGGAGATTTCTTCTTTGATTATGTACGTCTGCTCACTGACTGGATGAAGAGGGCACGGCCATCACGTAGTGGTAAAAACACATTGTTATACTGAAATGTTGATGCAGTGAAGATCAAAGTAATGAAGGTATCAGTTTTATTGATACTCATCGCACCTGTGATCTCGCTGCATAATTACTTTAATTCTTATGAATGTTTCAAAATAAATTCTAGCAGTGAAATCTAAATTAGGTCAAATATTTTTCAGAACAGTCAGTATCTAACATTTGACAGCAAGATATTTGTGCAAGAAATGTCGCTTTGACAAAACTTAAGTTCTTTAAATTCACTCATTTCCTACATAAATATGGCGAATCCTCTATTTATGCATCATGAAGAAACTGGAGGGCCTGTGTAAACTTGAACAGAAATACATGGTAAAATCAGATATAAGAATTAACAACACTTAAAATGATGATCAAGTGGATAATGTAAATTAATATAATATTCAAGAAGTTAAATATATACGGACCCTATTCACTCTTTCATGCATACTTCAAGCTGCTTAATCATATAGAATTGAAGTAAGGAAATTGCTTCAAAAACATAGGTGGAAATGGGAAAATACAGGGAAATAGGTTGTAAGACTTGCTTAAGATTAGGTCCAGTTTCAGTGCTATATATCTGCAGTTGAAAGAACATCATTAACCAAATAAACTAAAAAGAACAAAAGTAGGATCCAATTATGGCTTTGCTGATAGTGGTGTTGGCCTTTGGAGTCTGTTAGAATGTGTTAGTTAACCAGTGTGATTAACAAATTGTAGATCTGGCCTGATACTTATGTTCCAATGTAATGTGCAGGATTTGATACACATTTACACTTCAATGAAATTTCTATTTAATGAAAATCTTAAAATCTACTGGAGTGTTTACATGTCAGTATTCATCTGCATATATGTAAAGTTAATCGCACAAGCTTTCTCACTTCTGTTATACATGTCAAGGAATCTCCTGATTATTATTAGATTTACTTTTTTGGAAAATGTGTCATGCTAAGTGGTATTGACATCTTATAAATGAGCAAGATTTAATTAAAGTCATTTATCATCTTTAAACTTTCACATGTACATTGAAGTCCCAAGGTTTGTGTATAAGGAACTGCTACAGGATGAAAACAATTTTATACACCAGATTTGAAGAATATATACAGAGTTGTTCAGGTGATTGAGTAGTTTATAGACAGATATAAGTAGAAACAGATGACATGCCAACAACACTGTGTGTTAGGTATATGTGAAACAAAGTTATTATTTCAACTGTGAAGGTGAGTTTCTTATGCTCAGTATGTCTGCAAAAGTAAAAGTGATGTAGATCTGTGTTAAGGATAGTAGTAGTTATGTTTTAAACAGTTAAACCCAATCTTGAACTTCATCTGTGAAAGCCCATAGAATTGAATGTATAAAATTTGAAAAGGTGCATAGATTAACAGACATGTACATGGTGTCCGGATGAAAGGTATCCAAAATAAAATAATTATATCTCAGAAAGCATTTTCATACACATTTATGGGTTACGCCATTACAAAGGGAAACAATAATTTTTTCTGAGTATTTAACTTTCTCAGAAAATTTCAATGTGGGCTCCCTAGATGGCAGAACAAATATCCAGACAATATTTTACCTCTTTCCACATTGCTTGAAGCATGTCTGGTGTTACTGTAGCCACAGCGTCCCTTATATGGGATTGCAGGTGTTGAAAGTTGTTGATCTTAACCTGGTAGACAATGTTCTTCACATAACCCCACAAGAAAAATCCAGTAAGGTTAAATCTGGTGACCTAGGAGGCCAAGCAATTGGTCCACCTCTGCTGATCCATCATCCAGCCATCTCTGTCCAGGTGATTCCTAACATGGTGACAAAAATGTGGCAGTGCATCACATAAGCCGAACATGAAAAAAACTTTCAAAGTTTTCCTTTCTGTTGACATAAACCGGATATGTGTATAACAATTAGTTTCCAAGTTATAAATTTTTATTTTGGATACCTTTCATCTGGACACCTTGTACGGTTGTTTAAGTGTACTTTCATAGACAGTGGAAAGTTTGACAGTATCATCATTGTCAGTACTGAACAGTTCTAACAGTAATATTAAATAAAATCATAATGATTGAATTGTGTGAGAATTATTTTATAATGATTCTTTTAGGTCTATTTTTAGCACATGAGTATTTTAATAATTTCCTTGAGAAATCAGATTTTAGAGTTAGGTGATTAATCATAAATGCTGTAAAACTGAGTAAATTTCAGAAGTAGTAATAAGAATATCCATTTCACATTAAAACCTCTTGAATGAATACTTTTCTTAGTCTTGCAAAATGTGATAGAACAAGTTCTTTGTTTCCCTCTCTAAATGTATCATAATATAATTTAATTTGTTTTAGCTGGAGGTGTTAATTATCAGTATCAAATATTTTTCATGAAGAAACTGTGGCTTAATACAATCCCAGGAAAGGATAAGAATGCTGATCTTATATTCCACTTTCCTCAGGAAATGCCAAAATATCTCAGAGGTGAGCATTAGAATGTTGTTAGCTTTTTTCATGGTTACATTTTTTTATTCAACTTATATTTTCTCAGTTTCCTCTGTTGTGTTTTGATATTTTTGATATGATAACATTCCCATCTCTGAACAGCAGATGTCCATAGTCATTTGGCCTCTTCTTTGTTCTAGCAAGTATACATGCAGAGGTGCAATTTTGTGCTGATATTCTGAGTCAAATTGTTAGGTTATTTTTGACTTTGACAATTTTTTTCATTGACAATGGAAGAGCTAAACAAAATTTTCTAAGCTTCTTTTGAAATAATAATTTACTGTTGCTACTATGCATATTTCAGGCTACCACAAAGTCAGCAAGAATGATGCAATTAGAATAGGGGCTCTTCTTTATAGAACTAAATTTGGAGACAGTAAAGCAGAGCTTCAGCTAGTTCCGTAAGTACGCTAATAGCATTTGACAGTTTCAAATATAGTGAAGGAAAATAATTAAGTGTTATGATCATTAACTATCAGATTATATGAAATGTATGATTTCTTATTGTATTGAGTTCAACAGTAATATATGGTTTATTCTCCATTTTGGTTTCTAATATTAAAGGGAAAACATACCATGAAGGTAGCTGAGGAAGTGGAAAGGGAATGAGAATGCTACATAATGATAAGATTCATAATGCATGCTCTTCACCAGATGTTATTAGGGTAGTCAGATTAAGAAGGGTGAAAGTGTTGTTACATGCATGGCAAAAATGAGGAAGTCATGAAAAAATAATTAGAAAAGACCTCTTGGGATACCTAGATGTATACAGGAGAATATTAAAATAGATTCAAATGGTTCAAAATATGGGCTAGTGGCAGACTCTTGTAATCCTTGGGGTTCCATAAAAGTGGGGGAATTTCTTTATCAGTTGGACAACAGTCTGCTTCTTGAAAAGGATTCTTGGAGGTAATTGGATATACCTCTCTGTATAATAATTTTCTGATGTGCAGAATAACTCCTGTTATTACATTTTCCTTGAACAACAGTTTTCTCTTAAAGAACCCACGAGGTCCATCCTCATAACCACAAAGACACCATTAATTAATAATTTAAATGAATGTTGAAGGCCAGGAAATGGTTTTTGTAAGGTAATGTCATCCACAAAACTAGCTAGACTCATAGAAGTTTCAAGCAAAAGTAATCAGAGACTCTTTAGTGTGGTATCTATATTGTGATTAGCCTTGCAATAAATTTTTAACCACGATAAATGTTCAGGAGTAACACGTATAATGATTTATGTGAAATCACTAAGAACACACTTGTTTTTCCTTACTGTTTTAGTCAAATCCTTGGAGAATTGGTGCCAACAAACCTGCTGAAAATACAGAGCACAAGCGACTGGAAGAAATCTATCTCTTCTGCCTTTGCACAGAATTCAGGTAAGCACAATTAGTAACATTTTAAATATGTGTATGTACTGAAGTGCATAATAGGCATTCAGCAGGGTTTCAAATGCACGAAATAAATGCATATATATAATCTTCAAACTACATAATCTGTGCATGGATATTCTGAATATACTATGATCATTAAAGGCAAATGCATGGGGATGGAAGAGAGAATGGGCATGGAATGTCAAAGGTATGCACTGGTTTGACAGAAGGGAATAATAGAAACAATTAGAAATCATAGTCAAAATTGCTTGTATTGACTGATATTCAAACTTACTATCTTGGGATATGAAACAGAAATTGTCTCTTTTGCCACTGGATACTTTCATGAATTAGTTCAGTCCAATATGCACTACCAATACATCTACACTAGATTACAAAATGAAAGTTTCTTGAATGGCTCTCCAGTGGTGACAGTGAAACAACTTAGAATTAAGAATAAATATTTATATTCCTTTCAGGTATGAAGACTGATGAAGCGAAGGAAGCTTTCTTGCAGTACATCAACACTTGGCCCACTTTTGGATCTGCATTCTTTGATGTGAAACAGACAACTGACACCAGTTATCCAGAAGTCATTACCATCGCCATTAACAAGAGAGGTATCAGCATAATCCATCCTCACACCAAGGTACATAGTCACTCAGATACTATCCTTATCTCCAAACAGTGTAGAGCACACATATTCTTGTTTCTGGGCCCCACACAGCACAAATATATTCCTGTATCTAAACTCTACAAAGCACAAATCTGTATGAAAAGGAGAAGTCAGAAACTCTGCAAAATGAGGTAAGTGCGTTATAGGATTATCTTCTTAATGGGTCAAATAAGAACCAGGTTGTGTATCTAAGCACAATATTTTCCATGCAGTGACATAATGAAATACTGGGTTACATATATGACTACATGAATCTCTGAAGTTGTATGTTGTTCTCCTGAAAAGTTAGTTTATTGACTTAACCCTCTTATCTACGAATATAATACCACAGAAATATTGTCTATGGGCTGGGTGACCAAAATTTGATTCTTAGTATGGGGAAAAAATATTTCTCTTCACCACATCCAGATCAATTCTGGGACCTTCCCAACTGGTCTAATGAGTACTGGACTCCTATCTCCTGCAATACAGTGGCAAGAGTACGAAACTGGCCATTCATCTCTGTTTGGGCCAAGACTATATGTCAACAATGTAAAATGTACATATTTCATACAGAAGAATTCAGAAGAATTAATTGTGTTTTTTAAGTATCACATATTCTAGTCCTGCCCCTCTGCCATAGCTTGGGCATTTCATCATAGTAAAAAGTTCCAGGTGTTACATATTAATTTCAAGAGTGGAAGTTCTAATCCTGATACTTTTCTCTACACATTTATGGTGATATAATTACCATTGTAGATACCTTTATTGTATGCATTTTGTTGTGGATCACAGTCTGGTAATATTATATGGCCATCAACACAATCATCTTCAAATAAATAAACCACTATTACTGTATTAACATTTATTCATTATTCTGTGTTTGCTGCACATTTTGATCCAGCTGGGTTATCGCTTGGCAGTTTTCATGATACATCTGTCATTGTTGGATTGTGTCCTAATGTGGATCCATATTAGTAATTGTATTAATAATAAGTAATGTTAAAAATTTATGTGTCTTGTCATGTTACTAGATTGATGTTGTAATATTCTTAAGGGTTAAAACATTAAACATTGTTATTCAGATCTCTATCTAAATGTTAAAATTAACTGCTACTTATTGTCACATGGTGCATGTGGTAACGTAGTTGGTTGAGGCACTATGCTACAAGCTGGAAGGTCACAGGTTCAAGTCCTGATGAGGTCATTGGATTTTTTCAATTGACCTAATCCTTCCAGCCACACTATGGCCCTAGGGTCGACTCAGCCTCTAACAGAAATGAGTACCAGGAATATTCTTGGGGGTAAAGGGCAGCTGGCACGTAGGGCTGACAACCTTGCCGCCATCTATGAGCCGATTGTCTAGAAAATGTAGGAACCTCAATATCTCACAACCCTATGGGCCTCCACAGCCTGTTACAGGGATACCTTTACTTTTTTACTTACTTTACTTATTGTCACATATCCTGATAACGTGACAAGAAGTTAATGGGTTCCAGATTAGATTAAGTGATTTATTGGATAAGTTGTTTACAATTACAGTTACTCAAAAAATAATGTCTTCCACACGATGCAACCTGACTAGTCTGTCATATCTCGAATTTCATCTTCACTCTGCTGTTCTGTATTCAACGGCTATTCTCTCTTCCACTCATATTCTTGTTGGTGTGTATTTGCTGTTTTTTCCTTAGTTCCTTGCTCTACTGATGTCTTCTGCTCTCAGCTCTGCTCTCTTCGCCTCTGTTCAGTTCTGTTCTGTTCTTCTATCCACTTGGTCTGTTATCTTCAGCAGTCAGACATTCCAGAAGACACCTTGTGGGTTCTGTTTTGCATTTTTTATGCACCGGGAGCTAGTGTATTCATTACCGCAGGAACTGCACTAATTCTGGTTTTCATTTCCATGGTAATGGTCTGTTATGTATGCACTGTCATGTGAACATGTTTGTTGCCCAGACAACAATGCAGGAATGTAACTACTGAGCCATTGTCTAGAAATGGGCACCCACTCTGACTCAGATATTCTGGTTTTTATGTGGCACACCACATTATTAATTAGATTACACTGGAATTTTAAGTAAAATGAATGCTTTGGTGATTTGTCGTAATGTAGAGGGCAGTTGGGTGTTATGTATTAAAGCTAAACAGCGGCACGCACACAGGGAACCTGCACAGAATAATACGTGAACGGTGCTGAAAGCAAACCGTAGCCACTGCAGCACATGTAGACATAGAGCAGGTATCCCTGAGATTTAAATTTTGAAAAATCTTAAATTTTAAATTTAAATTGACGAGTGTATATTAACAGAGATTTTAAACATAACTGACAAAATTAGCAAGGCGATTCTGATATATTGGGACCGATTGAAACACAGCAATGGTAATTCAGAAAGCTGGTGTTTTTAAATTTTAAATTACATGCAGTGTGACAGCTACGTATGTGAAATCCACCTGATGATGGCCAGTTACGGCCGAAACATGTAGTGTGAAAGAAGAAAGACAAAGAACTACAATAAATTGTTGCATTTATGACAGTATTTATATTATACATATAGAAGTATGGAGTGCAAGAGGATGCTTAAATATAATATACCATTTATACATTTCAATTTAGTATAGTAGACATAACAGAGCATTTTACTGTATTCTGTTGCATTACACAAGTTAGAAAGTTATGATTAAAACATATATTCCTAAAATGGCTTACTTGATGAAGAGAATATATATTATTACTATTATGGCATGCATTTTGATGTACTGAAGTATACAAGTTGTTCTTTCCTGAAGGGGTAATGGTATGTGCCAATTCTTTTGCAGGAAATTCTGGCTGTGCATCCATTCACTCGCATTTCCAACTGGTCATCAGGGAACACATTCTTCCATGTCTCAATTGGGAACATGGTACGAGGCTCCAAATTGCTGTGTGAGACTTCGCTTGGGTACAAGATGGATGACTTGCTTACATCTTACACTTCTCTCCTAGGCTCTTCTCTCAATGTTGGACGAACCTAGCTGTAATTATGAAGTAATGATGCTAGTTTATGTCACATTATATACTTTTTAAAACAGAGTTTACAGAAAGAAAATATATGTATAAAAGTTTTATTTTAGTAAATTATTTAAGATTATTTATGAATCACAATTCTTAAATATGATATTTAGGTTGCATAGTAAAGAAGCACAGCAACAAAGGGGTGTCCTGCCAGTTTGTTGACAAGGGTTTTGTGCCAGCAAATAGTGTTATTGTTTTTATTCTTGAATAAATCTAAATGATATAAAACAATACATGTATATTTTTAATAAAATGTAAAGAATTACATCATACAGGTATACGTGGTCCATACTGCACTATGAATGAATGTTTGTTAAGAAGGTTCCATACAGCTTGTTGATTTTCTGATGCTTCTTCACAACCTGAGATGAACTCCAGCATCACTTTCTCAGTGTTTCCCAAGTCAGGTCTTGACAAAAGGAACTGCATCCCATTACTCTGAAATTGTTCAGCTGATTTTTTTAAAATACCTCATTTTCTGTCCAGCATGTGCTGGCACCATCAAAGCAAAGTGGTATAAGATTCTTTTTTTTACAAATATTCTTTATGAAAACTGTAACAATTTGAATATTCATTTAAACTACTGAACATATTTCTCTGATGTTGGCAAAAATTCTACTGGATCAATAAAAGTAATTATTGGTTTAGCTGCAGAATGCACTTCACATTATAAATATATGAAAAAGAATGTTTTTTTAGCTATAGTTGGGGCTTCATCAGTTATGATACACACCTTGACTTTCTTGATATTCAGATTTCTGAAGAGATATTTCCTTAATTGAGCTGAAATGTCAATAGTATGAACTGCTGAAGACAGTTACCAATACTTACTTAGTTTTTCTTTTGCAATTTGAGTACAGCATCAATATCGGAAATAGGTGCACTTTTATTTGAATATTGTGGCCTGAAGCCTAATAGTCATAATCTTGGAGTTCAAGAAATGTCACAATGGAATCCATTGCTACATAATGTAAAGTACCAATCCCTGACGTGCACGTGCACAACAGTTGAGGAACTGTTGGTGGCAGTGTTTTCTTGTCAGTCTATGACAAAGCGCTATACAGATAGCCCTTGAGCTGACTGATGAGTCCCCATTATCAAAGCCCAAAACCTAGCAACTTGTCTGTGACACCAAGGTCAGTGGTGTCAGAACGTGATTTAGAGTCCCTGTTAACTATTGTAATAAATGTGAACTGTGTAATTATCTGTAACTAAGATGATTCAGTGGCCAGTAAATCATATTAGTAATTAGAACCTTATGTATAGTCACTATCACTTGACAGTATATAGAAATACACAATGTGCATGGTTTATACTACACTATGAATGTTTTTCAAGAAAGTTCCACACAGCTTGTTGAGTTTCGGGTGTTTCGTCAGAAGTTCTGGCTTGAACTCAGGTGTCATTGCTAAATGATGATTCCCAAGCAAAATCTTGTCAAAGGATACTGCATCCCAGTCTGCCAAAGGTTTACTCATCGTTATTATGATTAATCAGACTGGATATATGACAGTATTGTAGCATATAGATCCGGTGCCAAGCAATGACTATAAGCAACACCCACTGCTAGGCAGTGATTGTGGAATAAGCAAATATATGGCAGCTGTTACTGAGTAATGGCTTCGCAAACAAACTTTATCCCACAGAATTGATTGAAGTACAACAATGAGGTGCAGTCCATGCCAAGGGTTATAAATGGGACAGGTTTAGATTTTAGTTGTGGAAAAGAAATTAAGAAAACAGGTCTGTCAGTACCGGCTCTCAGTTCGACTAACAATGACATGTTAAAAGTAGCCACTGTAGTGCAACAGATCATGACAGGGCTCAGTGAAGCTGTGTCAGAAAAAGACAAAATAATGGTTCTTACAAAAATGGTACCTAATAAACCCAAATGGCTGCTAGTGTTCATAGGTTGCTCAAATTCATAGCATTTACTGCAAATGACATTTGGATGCAGGGTTATGATCTCAGTAAACAGCTGCATTACTTACATATAGTTGTGGCTGTGCTCTCAGAGACACGTCTTAAACCCCGTGAGAGGTTCTTTATTCCAAATTATCACTTTTATTGGATTAACCGTTTCGCAGGAAGAAAAGGCATTCCCCACAACCATGTAGACCTACCCCTGCTTGTTTCAATAGAAGCTACAGAGGTTTGCATACTGATTGGTAACAGCGAAGTGCTACTTGCAGTGGTCTGCAAGTCACTAGGCCACACCTGGAACAATGCAGACATCACTGAGCACTTAAGTTTTAGACATTAGTTGCTACTGGCAGGAGATCTGAATGCTAACCATCCAGTTTGGAATAGCACAGTCTCCAACCCTTCAGGTGCAAAACTACTGAATTTACTGCATATAAATGAGTTTGAAATTTTAGCACCACAATGTCCCACTCATTACTCTCCTGCAGGAAATGGTGACATGATCAATATTGTTATGCACAAGAACGCTCAGCTGTCAGAAATCATTGTCTGACATTCTACAGAGATCACCTACCAATCGTTTTCCATTTACTGGATCATGTTAGAACTAGGGATCTTTTGGAGCCAGCTGACAAATTCACAGATTGGGAATAATTTCAAACCCTGGCCTCTGAATTAATTTCACGTAGACTGCAAATTAACTTGGGGGAAGAAGCCAATAAAGTGGCCCATTACTTTACTGCCTCTATAGCTTCGACGTACAGACTATCATCAAGAAGAATTACACCCTCGGACCTTAATGAGAATCCACCTGATCTAGAGGGTCTGGTAAAATGTAAGTGGAGGTTAAGGAAACTGTAGCAAGTAACCCAGGATCCAGCATGTAAAATGACAGTTAATTGGGTTGCCAAAACCATCAGACAAATGACGTATAGAAAGGCACTTGAATGGTGGGAAACAAAAGTAGGGAACTGTGAGGTCACACCTCAAGCTTTGTGGCCTATTGTGAAATCACTCATGAAAAGGAATGGACCAAAGGCACCAACCACTGTTCATGGACCTTTAGGAATAACATATCACCTGAACAAGAATGCCAACATGATTGCAGATTGTTTAGAAAACCGGTTCACATCTCATGACCTGTATGACAGAAACCATGAGTGACAGGCAGAGACTGGAGTCAGATCTCTGCTTGCATTTGTAGATGACATCTCCTTGTGACATAACATAAATTAGCAAATTTATTGAAATTGAGAAAGGTTTTTGGACTTGATGGTATTCCAAATGAAAGCCTCAGGCGTCTTCCAAGACCACTGGTACACCTGACACATTTACTTAATCACTGCCTTCAGCTGTCTCATTTTCCAAAGCTGTGGAAGGATGAAAAAGTCATAATGTTACCAAAACCAGGTAAGAACCGAAAATTCCCTCAAAATTTACATCCAGTCAGCCTCTTGTCCACAACAGGCAAGCTATTCGAGAAAGTTATTCTGAAAATAGTTCAAAGGGACATTGATGGAAGAGACCTGCAAAATGCAAGCCAGTTTGGTTTTTGTGCCTGTCACAGCACAACATTTCAATGTATGAGGCTTATGGACCACGTCACCTTGAATTTCAACGGTACTGCAATGGTAAACTGCATAACGAGGAGCTTTATAATTTGTACTCTTCTCCAAGTATAATTAAAATGATCAAGTTAAGGAGAGCATGTAACACGAATGGAGGAGAGGAGAAATGCACATAGGGTATTGGTGGAAAGCCGGAAGGAAGAAGACCACTGGGAAGACCAAGGCATAGGTGGGCGGACACTATTAAAATGGATCTCAGAGAGATAGGATGGGATGGCATAGATTGGATTGATCTGGCTTAGGATAGGGACTGCTGGAGGGCTCTCGTGAACACAGTAATTAACCTTTGGGTTCCGTAAAATGCTGGGAAGTTCTTAAATAGCTGCACAATTGACAGCTTCTCAAGAAGGGCTCAGCTCCATGAGTGAGTGAGTGAGTGAGTGAGTTTACATGTTCACTGATTCCCAGATGACCAGCTGGGAAACTTGCCCTCCCTGCTTGTATTAATTTAATTGTGCATGTTTATAAGTTTGTCAGCTTTATGTAAAGTTGTTGGGGATAATTGTAAAGTACAGTGATTAACGTTTTGGACATTTTGCATCATTCTATTTTAATTTAAAACAGTGTTTCGGAGATTGTACTCTGCCTTTGTCCCCAGGTAAAAACTAACACAGTTGGGCCCAGTCAACAGAAGTATCAACAGAGACAACAGAACCAACACAAGGCAGAATATATTAATGAAATATAACACAGACCTACTGTGGGAGTTGAGGCACTTTTTTTCTAATGCATGAGACCATGCTCCTATGGCCGTGCATAATGTAACAGCCAGAGCCCATAAAACTAGAGTTGAACTGAAATAAGAACCAAAACTATTGTTGTTGTTGTTGTTGTTGTTGTTGTTGTTATTGAGATACAAAAGAAAATAAAGGTCAACCACAAAATCAATGAAAGGACATAATCTGTCAACCTTTTAACACCACAGATAAGACAAGGATAGGTATAAATATGAACCCAGCAAGTATAAATGACACAAATGAATGACAATTCAAGGAGATGAAACTTCCTACCAACCAATGAGGACCAAACAGCAAATAAACCAATAATGGGAAGTATTGAATAAATGAACACCTATATAAATCTACATAAAAACTAGTTAGCTGGTCAGATATTAATAGCATAATAAGGTTAGTGTCCATATGCATACAATTTCATGACTGATTCAGATAAGTGACTATGTGAATATGCTAAATGACTTGCATGTTAATAACAGCATAAGCGATTTTACTGCGAGCCAGGATCGCCGGGATAGCCTAGTCGGTATAGCGACTGGCTACAGTCTGGTCGAACGGGGGATAGGAATTTGAGCCCTGGAAGGGTCAAGAATTTTCTCTTCTCCACATCCAGACTAACTCTGGGGCTCACCCAGTCTCCTATAAAGAGGTCCCGGGGTCTCTTTCCCCTGGGACGCAAAGCAGCCAGGGCGTGAAGCTAACCACTAACCTCCAACTAGTGCCGAGGTCAAGAAAATGTCGATCTATACATTCATTCCCCCATGTGCCCCCATGGCGTAGTGCTTAATTAATTAAGTACAGACACAACGGACACAACTACCTTATCTATGTAAAATAAGGATTGATTTCCATCAAGTGCCACAGTACTTTTTAGTAGTAAAATAGATCCTTTACATGTTTCGGCCGATCATGGCTATAATCGGTAGGCGCTCAGTACGTAAAAGGAAATGCTTTACGTGCATGAATTGTCTTGTAAGGGTGAAATCACTAGTATTTTACTGCCAGTAATATGAATGACGCTAGTTCATGTTCAGCAATCCGTGCCTCCCGTACGTTATCCAGCAATAGCGTTGAGTTGACTGTCTATATCAGCGATGGCCAACTGGCGGCCCGCGGGCCGGATACGGCCCGCGACTTGATTTACTCCGGCCCCCTGCCAAGTCTCAGGTTCATTTTCAAAAATCTTAAATTCACAGCTGTGTTGGCATAGAATTCAGTTTTTAATAGGACGTTTCATTAGCTTACAGCATTTTGCAATTGACTGTATACGTTCTTACCGAGTTGGACAGTTCAAACTGTTTTCTATTAACTGTGTTCATGTCATGGAAATTCAAAGTTCCCCAACCCTACTTCTGTAGGGAGATGACACTGAAGGGAAGACCGTAGTGGTGAAGGATTTATGACACCTTCAAAATAATAACCATTCCCAGCTTGCTCGCAGGGATGGTATGTTTACCGTTTCTCTCGGCATCCTGGCCTTTGTTGAGTGCCAGTTTTAGCAGAAATGTCTCCCAGTTAGTGCGATTTTAGAAAGTGAAGTGTGATTACGGAGCGTGAGTGTAGAACTGTTTTTTTTTCAATTAAAATTGTGTTTGAAGTTATTGTAAGTGATACAACATTTCAAATAGAAAATTGAGAAAAGTTGATAGTGAGAATAGTGCGTTAAAATCTGAGTGGGAACATGACTATTTTTTATATTAAATAAAGACCACAAGCCACAGTGTTTAGTATGTTTTCAAGTGCTAGCAGTTTTAAAGGAGTACAACCTAAAGAGGCATTACATGACAAATCATAAACAGAAGTTCGGAAAACACTCTTGTGAATCAAGGAAAGTAGTCTGCGATCAGTTAAAGAAAAAACTTTTCCAGCAGAAATCTCTTTTTACCAATGAAACAAAACAACAAGAAGAAGCTTTGCTGGCTTCTTATTTCGTGACATATGAATTAATGAAAGCTAAAAAAGCGTTAAGTGATGGTGAATTAATTAAGAACTGTGCGATAAAGATGGCAGAAGCTTTCAATGAAAATAAGGTAGGAAACAAATTTCAAACAGTGCCCCTTTCAAAACAGACTGTTACTAGGAGGCTGGAAGATATTAGCAACCAGATATCTAATAATGTGAAAGACATTATCGCTAATTGTTCCTATTTCTCAATTGCTCTCGACGAAAGCACAGATGTTTCGGATACTAATCAGTTGCTGATATTTGTTCGTGCAATTAAGGAAGATTTTACAATTTTCGAAGAGTTGTTAAAAGTGTGCTCTTTACACAGCACAACTAGAGGTGTCGATATTTTTAACGCTGTTAAGAGTGCAGTGGAGGAATTCGGTGGTTTTGAAAAATTGTCCTCCGTAGTAACAGATGGCGCTAAATCAATGACAGGGACAATAAGCGGTTTTGTTGGATTTTTAAGACAGAATCAAATTACTGTACCTACCTTGCATTGTATTATACATCAGGAGGCTCTATGTGCCAAATCAATTAAACTGTCTACCACCATGGCTACTGTCACAAAAATTACTAATTTGATCAGAGGAGGAAATCGATCACTCACTCACAGAAAATTTCTGACCCTCTTGGAAGAAATGGATTCTGCTTACGGGGACCTGCTTCTGCACACTGAAGTAAGATGGTTAAGCCGTGGGAAATGTCTGGTACGGTTCTTTGAACTCCGTCATGAAATAGCAACATTCCTAAGAGAAGAGGTTACGAATTCTGCTGAACTGCAGAATGATCTCGAAGACGTCGAATTCTTGAGAAACTTGGCCTTTCTCACTGATATCACTCAACACTTGAATGTCCTGAATCTGCAATTGCAAGGCAAGAAGCAGACAATATGTCAGATGGTTGGCTTTGTTGACAGTTTCCGTAAAAAGCTACATTTATTTAAGTCTGCATTGGACAAAAATAACCTTCTACATTTCCCTTGCTGTCGGAAACTCTCAGAAGAAGAAGAAGAAGAAGAAGGCTTGGAGTTTAGGGACTACACTGAAATTATTGAAGATTTGTCTTCAGAGTTCGACCGACGATTTAACGATTTTGAAAGCTTTCGACCTGATATTTCTTTATTCAGTAATCCTATACATTGTGATATAGAATCTCAGCCAGGTCATCTGCAATTAGAGCTTTGTGAACTTCAATGTGACCCATCCTTAAACACATCTCAGGTTACTGGAATTGACTTTTGGAAACTGCTTTCACCAGAACGTTACCCACTGTTACGAAATTGGGCTCTCAAACTTTGCTCTGTTTTTGCAAGTACTTACATATGCGAGACAGCGTTTTCATCGCTGAAGCATGTAAAGTCTAAGAACAGGAACAGACTTTCAGATGTCGTGTTATCACATATTCTTCGAGTGGCAACCTCACAATTAGAAGTGGATTTTATATCATTGGTTTCCAGTTTTATGAAACCACAGTGCTCTCATTAAAACAGTGTGTATATGAGGATTTAGGTATAATCATTAGACCATAAAAACTATGATTGAAAGTCTTTTGTGCTCATCCCTGCTGAAAGAGGAATTTGTGCTGTTTTATGGTAAGTAATTGCACATTTCAAGGCATTTTATTTTTCTTTCTTAAATTATAATTGCATTTTCCCCCGGCATATATAAAACTAAACATAAGACATGATCTGGCCAGTGTTTCTTTAAGAAAAAATGCTCTGGGGGTAGAAGTGATAGAAGGCAATAAAATCGATTGGTGAAATTTTCAATATCGGCTTAATATTATTGGTGCAACGTAAAATTTAAATACATAGGTTTAAATGCACTGTTTTTATACGGGTTGTGACTGATTCAGTTTGGGGGGCAATACTCCCCGACCACTCTTCTGAAAGAAACACCGTATCTGGCCCCTGATGGTGTTCTATAAACTAAATTTGGCCCTCGAGATGTATTAGGTTGGCCAACGCTGGTCTATATGGTCTATATTTTGTAATCCGTGGAATTCTGCTCGTCAATTGTTTTGGGGTATGGCTGTAGGTAAATCAGAAAGTAGGTGCCGGTAGATAAGGTTATTTACGACATCACGTTTTTTTCCACTATATTAATATCAAAAGGTTGCCTTTTAGAACGACATTTACATAAACAGGTGTGTAGTGAATAATAATTTCATGTTATCTCTATATGCATAACATCAAACATACATTTAAAGGTACACGCTTAAAACACGTTGAACCCGTGGGTTGCAGGGTTTCTGACGCAATTGAAAAGTATGTGGTGTTAAATGTGTTTTTATGTAATTTCATTACTTGAAATTTAAGAAAATTTTCTTTCCTAACTCTCTTACACAGGAATTTGATATGGAGAGATACGATTGCAAGAAGCTAAACAATGTGGAAGTTAACATTATCAGGTTAAGGCAAGGACATATATCTAAAACAGTAAAGAAATTAAATTCTGCTTGCTTTGCCATTAGGTCTCTGAAATCGTTACTATCTATTAATGATCTAAAAATGATATATTTTGCCAATGCTCACTCTATAATTGTATATGGAATTGCCTTTTGGGGAAATGCCACTAATAGCAAGGATGTCTTCATAGTGCAAAAAAGAATTATAAGGAGTATTATGAATGTAAATTCTAGAGCCTCTTGCCGGGGATTTTTTAAATATTTAAACATATTGCCTTTTTATTCTCAATATATACTTTCGCTTTTGCTTCTGGTGGTGAAAAATATGCATTTGTTTGCACTAAATGCTGAAATACATGTCATAAATACACGACAAAGTACCAGCTTACACGTACCATTGATAAATTTGGCCAAATATAAGAATAGTGTGTGTTGTATGGGTATTAAAATATTTAATAATCTGCCACATAATTTAAGAAAATTATCGAGTGATTATAAAAAATTTAAGTTAGCTATAAATAATTTTCTCTTAAATCAATCATTTTATTCGATAAATGAATACTTGGAGTGGTCAAAAGAAAGGAAATAGNTCAAGAGATCCAAAGATGGATATAGAACATGTCATGAAATAATATAGAGCATAGAATGCATACATAGTTATTACACAACTAGACAGTACAGTGACTACAACAATAATAAAAATTATGTATTTAGATATTCATCCACAGCATGAAAGGTATGAGTGTTCAAGAAATGCCTTAATACAACCTTAAACTTTCTTAAATTATTAGATGCGTTCTTGATCTCTGTGGGCAATTTATTAAATATTTTTATACCTGCATAATAAATTCCTTTTTGATAAATAGTTAAATTAGCTTGAGGTAGATACAAATCTTGTCTTTGTCTAGTATTAATAGTATGAGAATCAATGTGTGATGGAGAAAGAACTTATTTTGTAATACAAATACTAACAACGAAAATATATATTTTGATGCAAATGATAAAATATTTAACTCTTTAAATATGTTTCTACATGAAACTCTATTGCCATATCCCAACATTGCTCTGATAGCCATTTTTTGGAGAAGACACACAGAACTATGAGCTGAGTTTCCCCAAAAGATGATACCGTAGCTCATTAAGGAGTGGAAAAAGGAATAATAGATTACCTTTAGAGCTGAAATAGACATATAATATTTCATATTTCTAATTATGTAACAAGCCTTACTTAATTATTTGCAAGTAAATCAATATGATTCTTCCATATTAAGGCACAATCAACTATAACTCCCAAGAATTTAGTACTGAGGGTACTGTTGATAAACTTATTATTATGTTTTATTGTAAAAGTATCTGACATTATTGTCTTAGTTTTAAATTGAATACAGTGTGTCTTGTTAAAGTTTAAAGATAATTTATTAGCTCTGAACCATCCATTTAAGATTTCAATTGTTATAAGAATATATATGTGTGTAGATCCTCATTTTTCTTGACCTCAGCACTATCTGGAAGTGAGTGGTCGTTTTCACGCCCCGGCCCCTTTACCCCCGGGGAAGAGCATCCGGTACCCATTGAATAGGAGGTTAGGTGGATCCCAGAGCCGGTCTGGCTGATGTGCTTAAAACACCTACAATTTTATACATTTTATATCATGTTTCTGTAGAGCAGTGAGGTTAACTATTTATTTATATTTTGTTTATTTAATATCCAGTAAGTCAGGTTGTATAATGATGAATGTTAGGGTGATTAGTGAATCTTGAATTGTGAAAGGAGTAAGGTGCTTTCCAGGAATTTTCCAGGGGAGAGAGTAAAATGAGGAAACATCAGTCAGGATAGTCAGTGGTCCCAGGTAGGATTTAAACCAGGCACTGAAGCATTATCACTTTAACTATCTGGCTCAGTAGGTTCTGCAGAACCAATTTAAAAATAGAAGCCATTGGTCTATTTAAAGATAATAATTCATGATGTTGCATGTCAACGTAAAGTTCATTCATTCATTCATCAGTAATCTGTCAAGACGACAGGTCCACAGTCTCTTCCAAAACAGTTCCTCCACTTGATGCAATCTAGAGCTTTCTCCTTCAAATGAAACAAGTGATAATGTGGTAGTTTTTCCATTTGCTTTCCACATCGCAGTACAATAGGCGTTCAAACCACTCTGGTCACGCCTGTTGCTATACGAACTTGAACCATCTCGAGCATTATTTACTCTGTGCTTCAAGTCGCTGCTGATGACGCTGCTTCCGGCATCAGTTTTTGGTGTCTCTCTTCGTCTGATGCCTACCCTTTGACCTGTCCAGCAAGGGAGGCCCTGCCAGTAGCTACGCTACCGCTGGTATAGCTCTCAGGGTCCTTGGCATACTCAAACCCCCTCACCACGATTAGGTGGAGCCACCAACGAGGGGGAACGTAAAGTAACCTGATATAAAAATTCAATTGAGAAGTAAAGAAAATCAAACAAAATGTAAGATAAAGTAACTGCCGTGGTAGTTGATGACTTGTATCCAGTGTTGGAGTAGTACGTACTGTGGTAGGAGCTGAAGTCTTGGAACTAAGTTTTCACAGCATCTGGAAAGATCAATGTCACACTGCCTCTTTGTTAGCACATTGTATGTAACATTTCGTTTTAGTTATAATGACAGCAAATCACCATGAAATATAATGTGGTGGAAATGATTTCCTTCTTCTCCCTGACTCTCCTGATTCATTACACATTGGAACTGGTGGTGTATTTCATATATTTTCCTTAAAGTTGCCTTTGCATGTACATTGCTATAATACACATATCTTTTTGGGGCAAGGGGAAGCATAGTTGGTTGAGGGGCTATGCTACAAGCCGAAGGTCGCAGGTTCAAGTCCCAATGAGGCCATTGGATTTTTTTCAGCTGACCTAATCCTTCCAACCACACTAAGCCATGGGGTTTACTCAACCTCTAACAGAAATGAGTACCAAGAATGAATTAATTAATTTTCCTGGGGAGTAAAGCGCGGCCGGCGCGTGAGGCTGACCTTACCGCCATCTTTGAGCCGATTGTCTAGATAGTGTGGGACCCTCAACGTCTCAACCCTATGGGCCTTCACAGCCTGGTACAAGGATAGCTTTACTTTTTTTTTTTACACATACCTTTAATTATTCACAGATATAGAAAACTTACAGATTAAAATTTGACAACTGAGACTACCAGATGCTAAGTGTAGTGGTTAGAATGATTAGGTATTTGTTGATCCCCATAGTGCCCACAGACAGATAGTGGGATAGTACATTGAATGGGCATGTTTATCTTATAAGAACTCAGGAGGTGGCACACAGATGTTAAAGGATTGGAAATTGACAGACCTACCAACAACAAATGTGTTAGTTTTATTTGGTTGCCCCTACTCTTCGGAAGAGTATTTAATACTGAGTTATAATTTTGCTCTTGGAAATTTACATGTCCTACCCCATGGAACTGATGCAATAGATATATATCAACAGCTTTTCAACGTCTTGGTAACAATATTGTTCTCAGTGTGTATGTGCTTGTCCTGCAAGTACTTGTTTCTGGTTGAAAATAGCCCTCTGTTGTTAAAGAAAGGAATAACTTATGTATTATAACCCTCTTATGGATTTTACAGAAATGGCAGCACAGTTCTTCAACAGAGTCGGACAGATTGGATTAGGAGTAGCACTAGTTGGTGGAGTTGTGAATTCTGCGTTGTACAATGGTAAGCACACTTAGATATTTCTATAACACATTTACATAACAGAAGAGCGTTTAAGAACATACCATATCTTGTTCATTATTTTCGCATTTTTAGGTTCAGAACAATAGAGAGGTTTAATTTAAGGGGGGTTTCCTTAGAATATTTGTGCCTAAGTGTGAGGAAGGAACAAGAGGCTGGCTGCATAATAGGGAACATCATAGTTTGTACTCTTCATGATATATTATTACAGTCATCAAATCATGAAGGATGAGATGAATGGTGCAGGTGGATAAAGAGAAAGATGAAAAATGCCTAATAAATTTTAGTCAAGAACCCTGAAGAGCAAAACCCACTTGAAGAATAAGGCCTCATTCTAAGTACTGGTCACTTGTCTTTATGAACAAGGTAATGAACTTTCAGAAATGTAAATTATAATGAATCTTCATATTTCATAAAGGGCCTGGAATTTGTTTACTAGCTGAACCACTGTTACTGTCTCAGGAAGGTCTCATTACTGTGGTACTGGTTAAATGTAGATAAATAAGAAGCCTCAAGTTCATTCCTTACTCAAACTCCTATGATCATAAAAGAAAAATCTTTAATTAAGTAAATTGCTTTTCTAGTATGGTACTTTTATTTAAGAGTCTTGCTTGTGAAACATAAAAGAAATCTGTATGTTTCTTAGTCCAGTTAAATTCTGCATGCTTTTCTGAACAAGACAATATGTATTTTATTTTGTGATGAAAGTCATAAGAGACAGCCATTGAATGCTGACATGTAAAATTGTAAATATATGGATGACACGTACAACTGATTTTGACCACGGTAAATATGGCTACACTGGCAAGGGCCAGCAGTAATTGTAAATGATAGACCCATCCTATCATCAGGGATGGGGGCCCCACATGAACATACCTACACCTGTCTGACAGTAGCAAAAATCTGGTTTTGGGCCCCAGATGTGGCTTGGCAGCAGGACAGACTGGCTTAACTTTGACTTTGACTCAGTTTGATTGAGAGTCAACAGTTGAGAACAAGTTGTGAGGTGATGGCAAGCTGGCAACACATAAACGAGAGCAGAAGAATTTGCACTGTTGGGAACCATAACTGAACAATGACTAGTGAAGACCGTAACAGAAGAAGACTTTGTGAATGCTGTAATGAGGAGTCAAGTGCGTGAATTAGTGAGAGCATTATGATTACTTGTAGTTACGATTTGTAAGAGTTTAATAAATCCTACTACCAATTCAAACCCTGTGATGAGTCACTAACATGTGACAATATATATTGTAAAGTACCCTTTGCGCTTTTTTAAGTGGTCATTTAAATATCCTGGCATGCCTTGTTACACCCTCATTTAACATCAAAGCTCTTAAAATTACAGTAACTCATTTTATAAGTAAGATATTTTGGACACAGTAAGTTTGGTATTGCACAATGGTAAGATTTGATTTGTAAAGTGGCTACAGAGACAGTCTTGACCCCATGCACTTTGGCAACAGTTGCTGCTTATATTTTATTCCAACAACATGGAAATACACTTTCACATCAGTTGTTTTTGTAATTGTGTTGTAGTACCAGTTAAAATATGCCTTTAGTTAAGAAATTTGGTGTTGGGCAGCCTATGTTTCATGAAAAATCAATATACAGAGAAAGCAAACGCCATAGATGTTAAGAAGAAAGCAGTCTTCTGGGATTTGGCACTGTGTATATGTGGTGTTAACCGACGTTTCGGAGGAACGTATCACCTCCATTTTCATGGTTTTCTTCTTCTACTTCTTTTTTCTTCTACCCTGAAGAGGGAGGCAATACGTTCCTCCGAAACGTCGGTTAACACCACATATACACGGTGCCAAATCCCAGAAGACTGCTTTCTTCATAGTCACCGCCGTGAAAGCCTCAAATCTGCCATAGATGTTATTGTAGCTAGTACATCGAATGCTAACCTGGATGTATCTGCAACATTTACTTCATTACAAAAGGCCGCGCCATAGCTCAAGTGGTTAGTCGCTGGCTTCCCACTGCGGCGGCCCGGATTCGATCCTGGGTCCGGTCAAGTGGGATTTGTGGTGGACAAAGTGGCGCTGGGGCAGGTTTTCTCCGAGTACTTTGGTTTCCCCTGCCAATCTTCATTCCACCAATTGCTCCATAATCACCCTCACCTATCATCTGGGGCTGGTACAATAGGCCAGAAGTGGCCGCAGTACAAGGGACTTATTCCCACCCCACTAGGAATAAAAAACTAATACTTCATTACAGAAACTGTAGCATGTAAAGAATGTCCTAGGCAGTAATTTCTATGTAAATACAAACAATAGTGCCTCAGGTAATAAGGGTGTTTCAAAAAGAGCTTTACAACTTTGGAAGCTTATATAAATTTATACAGAGGACATACACAACGTTTTGCACTGTCATAATGTAACAAAACACACCGAGTCTCATGCACGTGGTACTATAGTACCCAATACTGCCACCGTGAGCGCTCCCACAGTTGAAATCAAGATGGCTTCTTTCACAGGTGCAGAGCATGCTCGTTGTGTGTTTTGGTTCGAAGAAACGAAGTATGCTACACATGTTCAAAGGAAATTTTGCACTCAGTATCGCAAGGAACCTCCCAGTAGGCCTACAATTTACTCCTGGCACAAGAATTTTGTACAGACCGGATGTTCTGTGTGCCATGCCAAGCCACTTGGTCGCCCACGTGTTTCTGACGCTACAGTGGAACAGATTAGGGAGAGCTTTGTTCGAAGTAAACGAAAGTCAACGTGACGTGCATCTCAGGAAACTGGTATTCCAAACGTTACTGTGTGGTGAGTGTTATGAAAACGTTTACACTTAAAAGAGTACAAACTATCCATCGTTCAACACCTTATGGATGCAAATAAGGTGGTTTGTAAGGAATTCTGTATGCAAATGTTTCATCAGATACAAGACGATGAGAAGTTTTTGGACTCCGTAATTTTCGTTGATGAGAGCACGTTTCATGTCAGTGGTAAGGTCAGTACCCACAACTGCAAGATCTGTGGCAGCGAAAATCCACTTGTCTGCCTGGAACATGTTCGTGATAGCCCAAAGGTGAATGTGTTTTGCACCCTCAGCAAAGAAATAATGTACAGTCCCTTCTTCTTCTTGGAGACGACCATTACTGGTATCATATATCTGGACATGCTCCAAGAGTTCCTCATTCCACAGTTAGACGAAGATGACCAAGAAGGCCGCCTTCACTTCCAGCAAGATGGCGCACCCCCTCATTACCTTGGAGAAGTGAGCAAGTACCTCAACACCCGTTTCCCAGGTCGGTGGATTGGTAGAGCGGCGCCGATAGCATGGCCACCTCGTTCCCCGGATCTTACTCCCCTGGATATTTTCTTATGGGGATTCGTTAAAGATAGAGTGTTCGTACCACCTTTGCCTGCAAATGTCGTTGAGCTCCGAACTCGAATTACTGCCTCAGTTGCAGAAGTGACGCCAGAGATGCTACGTAGTGTGTGGCAAGAGACTGACTACAGGTGGGACGTCTGCCGCATTACCAATGGAAGTCACATTGAACCATAACTGTCCGAGGTAAAACTCAGCGTGTTTTGCTACAGTATGACAGTTCAAAATGTTGTGTATGTCCTCTGTATAAATTTATATAAGCTTTCAAATTTGTAAAGCTCTTTTTGAAACACTCTGTATAATAAATGATATGTACAACCTCCTTGGCAGCATCCTAGAAGTCTTCTGCTGTGAAATTTGCCATTTGGCAGTGAATTGTTGCATCCATTGTGATAAATATTCTTATGGATCTCTAATGAGAGTTGATGTTTACAGTTGATGGAGGTCATCGGGCTGTAATATTTGATAGATTTTCTGGAATCAAAAACCAGGTGGTAGGAGAAGGTACACACTTCTTCATTCCTTGGATACAACGTCCAATCATATTTGACATTAGATCCAGACCCAGGAATGTTCCTGTTGTTACAGGGAGCAAAGGTAATTAAATAATCTTATTCTGGGCTTCATGCTTCTCAGTTTCAAATTTGATGTTCCTTAGTTAAAGGTTTTCCCTCACTTAAACATGCAGTTTTGGTGATCCCAAGTCAATCAATCCAGTGTAACATTACCATCATTTAAGGTTTTCCTTAGTTTAATGTTAAGAACCATTGGAC